TATATATATATATATATATATATATAATATGTTATTTACATTGACAGAAATGGAATATAAATATATAAAAGACAGTAAACATAAACCTTTGTATCTTTTAGTCAACATTAGAAAGAATAACTGGTTCTACTCCCGTATGTTTGGATTGAATTGTGACGTGGCTGATCTTTGAACACAATGTGTAAAGTTCATTTTTGTCCTTAAAAAAAAAGCTTTCAATTTCCCAAACATTTTTTTGCAGATAATAATTACGACTGTAGTGTTTCGTTAGCCACGACCACAGTGACGTCTCAGACTGCGTTCAGGAAAACAGCACTGAGCAGAGTGTCCGGTGTGATGATGTCACAGAGCTGTCTGGACTCCATGTCTGTACAACATTACTATGCGACCACAGGTACCCCTGATCTGCTTCACCACATGGAGGCAAATGCAGGTATTTGACCAGGGGCCACCAACCTTTTCGAAACTGAGAGCTACTTCAAGGGCACTTAGTAATACAAAGAGCTACTTGTTTGATACAGACTTCACAAACAATGTACTGTATTTTCCGGACTATAAGTCACTCTGGAGTGTAAGTCGCACCAGCCAGCTAGAGTGCCCTCTAGCGGCTGTCATTGTGAAAATATCAAACATGTGAAGTTATATATATTTTAATATATATGGTGCACCTGTGTATAAGTTACAAACCCAGCCAAAGGATGAAAAAAAAGTGAGTTATAGTCCGGAAAGTACGGTAATAATAATAATAATAATAATAACAAGTCCTTGGACATACAATAGTAGACACTCTTCTTACCATCATCACTGCACCCATTTGAATATCATTGTATATATATAAATATATATATACACACAAATATATACATATATACTGTAAATACTGTATATATGTATATATATATTTATATATATATATACACACACACTATGGCATGCTGTTCAGGAAATTAATCCTTGAATATATATACAGAAAGTCTGAATATATAATACATATACATACTGTATGTGTATATATGTGTATATATTTGCAAATGCACTTAACTCAATTTCAAAATGAGAATCCACATTTTTAAAGAAAAAAATGTTCGTATGCATAATTATTGTATAATGTCTTTTAGGTTTTTTTCGCTATATTTTGTGATATAGCAAAAATTTCACGAGATTGGATTAAAAATAAATCTGCTAATCTGATGTAGCGCAAGGAGAACCGCGATATAGAGAGAGAACACTGTACGTATACAGTATACACATATACATATATTATACTTATGTATAAATATAAAACACAACAAAAAAACAACATATTTCTTTTAAATAACTCCTCCTTCATGCTCACCATTTCCTTGTGTTTGTAGAGACAGACTCAGAGACGGAGATTGCTCACAGCGATGACTCTGGCGCTGTGGACTCTCTGTCATGGAGCATGTGTCTTCAGGACATAGACCCTGTTGTAGACAGTTTACCACCACAGTCACGTCTGAGCTTCAAGGAATACAGAGGCACCCAGACAGACGTGAGCAGAGCTGTGATTCCAGCAGCGGTTCTTGCAGGTTACACTGGTGAGGAGAGCAGCATCATAGTTATAGTCAACCCAATTGCACCAGCCTCTCTTTGCAAACAGTTGATTCAAGGTAGTATCACCATAACATTCAAGGTCCAGACAGATTTTTTAAACTTCTCGTACTCGTCTATATGTACATTGTACACAAGTAAAAGTACTGTTACTTCAGAATAATATTACTTAGAATTCAAAAGTAGTCATCCAAATAATAACTTGAGTAAGAGTAAAAAAAGTACTTGAAAATACTACTAACTGTTTTTTAAATGAGTATTCAATCAGATAGACAAAATTACAGAGAGGAGAGTTTATCCTATCAATAAAATAATAAAATAAAACAACTTAAATAAAGTAAAAATAAATAATAAAATAATATTTAAGTAAATTCAAGTAATTCGAGTACATAACAAATTAAATATTTAAATAAATAACTTAAATTACAGCAACAAGTAACACAAATTTCCAAACCTCTCTACTTTTTACCAGGCTCAGCAGGCAGAACTAGAACATGGCAGCCCATAAACTCTTTGCATGTGGCTCAGCCAAAATAATAATAATAATAATAATAATTTAGGTCAAACTTACCGCAACATATTTCCTCAGGTTAGACGTTGAGTTTTTGAATGCTGAAATTACCGTTTGTTTTGGGAGACACCGAAGACACCGCACGATGTAACTGCTATTTCGCACTGTTTCTAAACTGAAAATGCTTTCAATATGAGTCCAGGAGTGTGCCTCCTCGTCTTCGTCTGCCGACGGTTAATTCTGCCATTTTTTGCTATTAAAGACGGTGGATATCGACCGCAGTAGTCGCCAAACAAACCCTTCCCGCCGCTGAGATTGAGTATAGTCACGTGACGAGACAACGTGGCAAGGGCTACGTTTGATTGGGTTAAACACAGTCACGCGGTAGAGCCTTGGGCGGAAGTTTCTCTCTGACAAAATAAAAGTGGAGATATCTGTTCTGAGCTCCGTATAGCCTAATGTAGCCGAATACGAGTTCTAAAAGTAAAAAGTAAAAGTAAATGGTATAGTGATTTAAAACTATACCTAGAAGAATTTTATTTTTAAAAACTTACTAAAGTAAATGTAAGTCGTTACTACCCACCACTGACAGGAAGACAATGACAATAGCACGTTTTTCTTCCCAGAATGTTTTGAACAATGTATTTAACCTTCTGTCTCCCAACAGGAAATAGTTGTCCACTGCTGTGGCAGTTTCTGCTGGAGCTTCTGACTGACCGCAGCTGTCAGTCATGCATCAGCTGGACAGGTGATGGCTGGGAGTTCAAGCTCACAGACCCTGATGAGGTCAGTGTTGGCTGCAAGACTATGTGTGACTGGAGTAGGACTGATCCTGACAAGAGGGTTACATTAACTACAGAAAGCCTATTTGATTTAAACAAACTCAATATGTATTGAAAATTGTGTCTATCTGTATTCTTCCCATTCCGTTTTAGTGTAAATAATCGGGAAATTACACAGGCTGCCACATGGGAGGCACTATTGAGTATGAGGTACCTCCAGAGTTTAAGCCCTGGGCTTTCTGTATGCAAGACAGGCGTAGTAAATTCTACACTATAGAACCGCAATGCGTGCTTTTATACTGAATGTTCAGTTGTGCTTCCTGTGTGGGTCTTTTTGTGTGAAGGGAAATAAAGTGGTTCCAGTCAAGGCTGAAGAGTTTGTATGTTTCTTCCTCTACCCCAACATTTCTAACATCAGTAAATCCATGGGGCGTTTATGGCTTCAAACATTGACTGTTAGGTCAATTTTTGAGGTTAAAAATATATTTATTTCTTTAAAAATGGACATGTCATGTGGCTAAAAGATACTACTGTCCAATTGAAGTATCATCATTATAATAAATAATACTTCAGTATTAGAGCCCCTTTGTTAAAAAAATTGAATTACAAGATTGGAGTTGAAAATGTATAAGAACAAAGTTGTAGTGTTATGAGAGAAACGTTGTAATCCTATGAGAAAAAAAAAAATCTGTAACGTTAAAAGGACAGTGTTGTGAATTCATGGGGAATATTAAATATTATAGCCAAGTATGTATGTTACAACTATGGCTGATTCTCTGCTCGTAATGTTACTGTCCTACAGTACTAAGCTGCAGCTCTGTCTGTAGGTGGCGCTGCTCTGGGGTCGAAAGAAAAACAAACCCAAGATGAACTACGAGAAGCTGAGTCGTGGCCTGCGCTACTACTACGACAAAAATATCATAACCAAGACGGCTGGCAAGAGATACGTCTACCGATTTGTCTGCAACCTGCAGGACCTGCTGGGATACGAGCCAGCAGAGCTACATGCTATACTGGACAACAATCACAGAAAGCAAGAGTGACTTTACTACAAGAACATCTGAAGGTTGAAGTAAAAAATCCCAGGGCGCTTCACAAAGTCAAGGCTCCTTCTTGAGTTGAGAGCATCTAGGCTAATATATATATGTATGTATATATATATGTATGTATATATATATATATGTATATATATATATATACATATATACATATATACATATATATATATCCAGAAAACGTCCAGATACTGTACTTCACGCTAACTCTGAAGCTAACTCTGAAGCTAACTTTAACAAGAATTGCATGATAGTGTCAGGATCAGGGCGGACATGAAAATGAAAAACCATTTCCCTGTTTTATTTTCTTTTTAGTTGTGTAACCTGTAAATGTGTTTAGGTATAGGTCATGACACATTCACTTATATTGTTAATAATATTCAAAATAATGACTAAAGTGATAAAGAGACTTTTTTTGTGTGTCCTGAAAAAAAATGTTAACACATAAATGCCTTGTATTTTCCCAATATTCAATGCTTATTTGGAGAGTGAATCAGGCTGGGACCCATGTTGGTGTGTTAGCCTGAAGCTGAAGGGGATTTTACATACATCAGCTGCTGTTTGGACTAATGGAAGCTAGTTGATAGATTGACTCACACTCAGCCCACCCCTTCTGTGAAGAAGGTGTGTGTGGGCCACTGGAATAATCGTCTCCTGCTGAGTGTGCTTTATCGTCTCGCTGCTGGTTATTTGATTTAATACCTTCTCACTTCTTGACCAGCAGGAGATTTATTTCCACCGCTGTGGGGGTGTGAGGATGGATTCTGCAGATATCACTGCTGGGTTATTATTCAAGTGTATAGTGACAACCAGCTAGATCAGTGGTGTCAAACTCACTTTGGTTCAGGGGCCACATACAGCCTGATTCCATGTCAAGTGGACCGAACCTGTACTGTCATAACAAAATTGCCTGTTTTGACCCTTTGTTTTCATGCAAATAAGTACATGTATATTCGAAAATATTCATATTTGATGACATATAATTTGACAAAACATAAAGTGTTTGTGCATTTTTCCACTTTCAAAATTCATCAAGTGGGTCAAATTGAAGCCCCCATCGGGCCGGTTTTGGCCCACGGGCTATATGTTTGACATCCCTGATTTAGACCATGAAGAAGCTGAACAGAATATAATTATAATTTTATAATAATAATTATTATGGTATAATAGCTTAAAACAGATACTTATTGTTCTTAATGGTACTAGAATCACACATGTATTTGGTTAGCAGTATACACGATATTTGTGTAGTGGGATTTATTACTCTTTTCACTCAGTATGTTGTAAAGAAGGAGGTTCTTTACAAATGTAGCAAAGTAAAATCAAAATATTCTCAAGATAAAGTAAAATTACCCATTCCCGAAACTACTTAAAAATGACAAATTACTCACAAAAACTACTCAATTACAGTAACGTGAGCAAATGTAATTTGTCACTTTCCACCTCAGGTGTTATAATATCTGCATATCAGATTTTAAGCAAAGAATTATAACAAATCTCCTGTTCTTCACTGAGTGAGTGTGGATGTCCTCACTTGAAGACAATGATTTTCTGAGAAAAAGCACTCCCAGGGAGCTCCTCCATTAGCAGGACTTGGTAGTATAAGTGGTAGAAGTCGAGAAAAAGCACTCAAAAAAACACTCCCAGGGAGCTCCTCCATTAGCAGGACTTGGTAGTATAAGTGGTAGAAGTAATCCTGTCACACGCACTGCTGCCTTTGCTGCCCACTGGTGGATAAATGAACATTAGCACTGAGCTGTTTCATATCAAATACACTTCTCGCACCAAAGTAGTGGACTTTATGTCGAGCAACAGGGGGCGAGGTTTGGTTTCAAATAGACACTGCACCCACAATTCTACTTTAGATCAGTACGGTTTATAAGGTGACTTAAACAGCAATTCCCTTTAAGGTGGAAATAATCAAAAACAACACATCGGTCTGTGAATACTACATTTTAACGGAAAATAAAGTCATGGCTTATATTCTGAATTTAACAAACTGTTAGCGCTAAAATACCCGTGTGGCTTGTACTCTGTCACGGTTGCAGAGTAGCGTGCGTACAGATCAGGCAATATGAATCTGCATATTGTCAACAGAAAAGTCAGCCCATATATTTCGTAATAGAGGAGCAATTGCTTCTTAGAAGTTTAGACTTATTTACAAAGTACTTTAAACTCCTGAAGTGTCCTTGCATATTATAACATATATATATATATATACGTATATACATATACTGCATATATATAACATAAATATACAGTGTTCCCTCTCTGTATCGCGGTTTTCCTTTCGCTCCCTCAGTACATAGCAGATTTTTTTAAACTGATCTAGCAAAATCTTTGCTATATTGTGAAATATAGTAAAAAAAAAAACAAAAAAACAACTAAAAACAATATAAAATAATTATACATACAAAGGTTTTGTCTTGAAAAATGTGGATTCTCGTTTTGAAATTGAGATAAGCACATTTGCTTACATTAAGGTAGCATGACCAGACACTTTGAAGATTCTTGGGCCTATTTATCACAAACACACATGGGATGGTGGATCAATTTGAATATATCAAAATACTTGAACAGTTGATGTTGCTTTATGGGTGCTTTACCCAGGCAATGACCCAAAACACAGCAGTAAGGGCAGAGCATCTTGGTTCCAAAACAACAGAATGAAAGTGAAATACTGATCAAAAATGAAAGACGATGAACAGAAATATGACCTGGTTTGGAAATCAGGATTTTAACCCTTTTCTCCATCGCATTGAAGATTTCTTATGTTCAAGGTACATTTTTTTTTAATAAAAAAAAATTATTATATACTTGCACAACGGACAAGAAAATTCATCAAAGCCTTTATTTTCTGCAGAACACTTTGACAACATAGTCCAGACAAAACAAAGCGTGGGATAATAAGATCTGTGGAACGTGGACTGCACTTTTCTGACGTATGAAGACTTGTTGTCTCATTCGTGTTGCGTCACTGGGATTTCTGCTTCTCCCACTGCTCTGGTGTGAGGGTCTTCTGTTCGAACGCGTGGATTTCTTTCAGCTCCTCGGCAAGACATGTATTCACCATCCTGATGAGACAGCATGCTCATGATTACACGTGCACGATTGCATGTACAAGACGCCACATTTGCGTGCATGATCTTGGCTTTTTGGTCCATTGTTTTCCTGTCCGGTCTCTTCAGACTTTGTTTGACCATAGATGTTCACCAGACTTGGAGACTTTGTCAGTTACGCAAAAGCCTTTTCACTCAACGACAGAGTTGACAGCGATGCTCATCATGGCCGTTTACATACCCCATTGCCAACAATAACACAACACTTCTCAAATAGTGGAACGGGCACACCTAGGGGGGCGCGGTGAGGTGCCGAGGGGGCGTGAGGGGCTTCCAATGGAATATGGCACGCTGGACATAAGTGTACCACTGCTGTAATACTTGGATGATAACAAGCCTCCAGTCACTAGGTGGCAGCAACTCATTCAGTGGTTTGTACAGATATAAAATATACATGTTATCAGGTTCTCAATAGTATTTCAATTTGGGGCAGAGCATCTTGGTTCCAAAACAACAGAATGAAAGTGAAATACTGATCAAAAATGAAAGACGATGAACAGAAATATGACCTGGTTTGGAAATCAGGATTTTAACCCTTTTCTCCATCGCATTGAAGATTTCTTATGTTCAAGGTACATTTTTTTTTAATAAAAAAAAATTATTATATACTTGCACAACGGACAAGAAAATTCATCAAAGCCTTTATTTTCTGCAGAACACTTTGACAACATAGTCCAGACGACAAAAAGCGTGGGATAATAAGATCTGTGGAACGTGGACTGCACTTTTCTGACGTATGAAGACTTGTTGTCTCATTCGTGTTGCGTCACTGGGATTTCTGCTTCTCCCACTGCTCTGGTGTGAGGGTCTTCTGTTCGAACGCGTGGATTTCTTTCAGCTCCTCGGCAAGACATGTATTCACCATCCTGATGAGACAGCATGCTCATGATTACACGTGCACGATTGCATGTACAAGACGCCACATTTGCGTGCATGATCTTGGCTTTTTGGTCCATTGTTTTCCTGTCCGGTCTCTTCAGACTTTGTTTGACCATAGATGCTCACCAGACTTGGAGACCTTGTCAGTAACGCAAAAGCCTTTTCACTCAACGACAGAGTTGACAGCGATGCTCATCATGGCCGTTTACATACCCCATTGCCAACAATAACACAACACAACACTTCACACCTGGAGGTCGGGGGGTGAGGGGCTTCCAATGGAACATGGCACACATATGGACATAAGTGTACCACTGCTGTAATACTTGGATGATAACAAGCCTCCATTCACTAATTGGCAGCAACTCCTACAGTGGTTTGTACAGATATAAAATATACATGTTATCAGGTTCTCAATAGTATTTCAATTTGTGGGGGTGTGGGTCGCAGTGGTCGCAGTGAAAACATTTCTGTCCCCAAGGGGGGGCATTACAAAAAATAATTGAGAACCACTGCACTAGCATGACTTTCAGCTGTCTATTAGCACGCAGGGGCTAGTGCACGTCAGTTTTGTTGACTTAGCATACATAAGTTTCACACACGATAAAGCAGTGTCCCTAACCCCCGGACCACGGACCAGTCGCGATCCATGACTAATTTGTGTGAAATGATATGCCAGAACTATAGTTAGGCGCAACTGAAACAAAACGAAAACTAAGTTCCAAAATGCTCTGACAATATTCGTACAAAGGAAATCTATAATCGTGACATCACTGGTAGGGAGCGCAGCCACGTAATGGCAAAACACTGTAACACTGTTGAAGATCATATAAATTGAGGAGCCCTATAATCCGGCAATCTACCAAGTAATACTCGACTCCGATACTTTTTTCTCGAAAAATTACTGATCCTTAACAACGCTGTATTGATCCTTCAACGATCAGCGCAGCAAGGCAATACTGGTCCAAGGTCTTTAGTACAAAAAAAAATTGGGCACTGCTGTGATAAAGGCAATACACTCTGTCATGTGTAATTAATTACACATGATAGTAAATGTACTTACTGGAATTCAACTGTCGAGATAGTTATTATATTATTTACGTATATATATATTTACCCTTTACGATCCTCCCCCACACTGTTATCAACCCTCCCTAGACTGTATAATGGAAATATAAGACATACTGTACATATTAAAACAAATAATACACAGCAATGAAAAACAATGTTAAATACATTCTAATTACTGTACTAGTAAAAAAAAACAATTGGACAAAAGTAATGTACTATTGTTAATAGTACTGAGTGAGTCTTACCTGTGTCTCTGTAGTAGAGGCTTGCCCTCAAACTGGGGAGATACAACGAGCGCTTTGAAGCTGGCAGCACATCTGTTGGCCGAGGTGTCCTCCACTTCCTGGAACCACACAAGATATTTATGCAGTGAAACACATTAGCCGCATAGACACTGCTCTACTAATTGTATTAAACTGGTTGTTTTCAATACTTTTCTGTCATTCCCCCAGAAATGTGTTCAGACCCCCCGCTCCCGACCCACACCCTAGCGGATTTAAATACTATTGAGAACCTGATAACATGTATATTTTTATCTGTACTGCCACCTAGTGACTGGAGGCTTGTTATCATTCAAGCCTTACAGCAGTGGTACACTTATGTCCAGTGTGACATATTCTATTGGAATCCCCTCATGTCCCCCCCCCGGCACCGGACCACGCCACCCCCAGGAGGGCGCGCCCCACTGTTTGATAAATACTGCATTAAACTAAACTAACCTTTGCTGTCATTTTTGTAACGTGACCAATACCATGTCTAATTATGAAACTAGAAGCATACCATTTACAAAAGAAACCCTGTTTTTTTAAAACAATACTATTTATATAGTTGTGTTTGTGCTAAATTACCTTTTAAAAAAACCAACAACCCGCCCCCCAAAATATGACATTTATGATTGTATACATAAAGTATTCACAGAAAAAGAAAAGACTGTGTTGATGCAATGAAGAAAGTAGGTCTTTAGACTTTATTTTATTTAGAATTCTATTTTATATTGTGCATCGTTGGAATGTGCTGAATAAGTATTTTCATATTTTTGCAATTGTTTTATTCTTTAACACATTAATATTTACGTATGCAATTGCAATACCTTCATTTCAGTGACGGTAGTACACAGTCATAGACATAAAAGTAATGGTACTAATTACGGGCAAAACAATTTATTTCGGTTTTCAGCCTTGGTTTTCCTTATTTTAGGTTTTCGGATTCGGTGCATCCATAGTGCTAGCAAACCTGCTGACATAGCACAGCACAAAGCTAGTGCATAGAGTCAATGTCAGATTGTCAAATGCGAGTTAGTTTAAACGTGAATGAATATATAATTACATTAACTGTACTGAGTACAACCTTCTACCTGCATATTACAGGTACACGCAGTGGACACATTAATAAAGAGTAACCTACCACATGCACTGCCTTGAGCTCCTTAGTCAGTTTGTCCCTGAGCTGATCTGCTATCTGGGACATTTCTCTTCGTTTTGTCAGTACTGTAGATGTAAATCTGTAGTTGCAAGGAGAGACAAGCAATGACAGCTCAACTCAATGGTTTGTGGAGGTACAACACTTGTACAACACCGCCCGAAGCTACCGTCAAGCTAAGACAGATATATACTTTCTTGCAGTAATACAACTGGGTGCTGACGGTTTACATTTAGAAGTCGCTTTTCTATATTAGCAACCACGCTTTACAGGGACATGAAGACTGACAGAGAAAATATCTAATCATGTCGCGACTGAGAAAACAACGTCCAATCAAGAGTGGCGCGTCATATTTAAAGTTAGCGAATCACAACTCTGAGTTATCTTTTCAGAAAGCCTGATGAAAATATACAACAACCGCGATTTGAATAAATATGTTCCTTAGTATTTTTTAAAATACATACGTTAATTTTATCATTTTAATACATTTTGAATATTATTAGATTGAAAAACATTTATTTTTTATTTTTATTCAACAGTTTTGATTAGGCACTCTCCTCAGCTACTATGACGGCGTTTGTTTACGTGCAGATGTGTGTTTTTAAATGGAGCTGAAAAATCAATGGAACGTTCCTTGGTAAATACAAGTAACATTTAAATACTTTTGTTTGGGATTTATCCTAAAAATATTCATGCTTGAGTGGCTCAGTCATTGGACTTGTTATTGTACCCGTAATTATTATTATGATTTTGCGTATTAAATACATAGAGTTAGCGTTTTTAGCAGCATTTATAGATGTGTTGCGTCTAGTTTATACGATTTGATTTAGTAATAAAACGTATTCTGTTCTACAATGGTAGTTGAGGTAGAAAGCTTCTATGGTGTGTACATGCTTTATTGCACCAATCCAAAATTCAAAGGTCGCATATACATTGGGTTCACCGTGAATCCTGAGCGAAGGATCGGGCAGCACAACGCCGGACGCTGTAAAGGGGGAGCGAAGAGAACAAGCGGCAGAGGTCCATGGTACGAGCCACTGACTGCTGCACAACCATCGTGTGGAAATACAGTATTATTATCTTTGTCAACTCTCCTTAAATATATCCGATCTGTTTACAGGGAGATGGTCCTCATTATACATGGCTTCCCGTCTGATATTGCAGCTCTGAGAGTACGTATCATTATTGCATGTTCTCTTTAGTGACTAATTTCTGAAACTGTAAACACAAATAAGAAAGAAAAAAAATATAGAAGTGTTGAAACGTTTTCATTGATACAGAGCAATTGGGCTAAATGTCCTTTTTAAAATAAGAAGAATATTTAACTTCTGGAACGTTTTCATTGATGCAGAGCAATTGGGCTAAATGTCCTTTTTTTCTGACAGATGATAATATTATGCTTTCTTTTGACGTTTTTTGGCATGTTATTCACCCACAAAACTGTAGATACACGTAAAGAATTATGTTTTGTTTAGTTTTTTAGTCTAGTTTTAGTTTTTTTTTGCATCATTTTAAACATTTTGTTAGACTAGACTAAACACAGGCAGAGAGCAGTTGCAAAAAATCTCTTGTGAGAGCTTCTAAGGCTGTTTTAATATTTGTCCTATCTCCTGAATAAAAAACATTAGGCTCCCTGACATGGTCTGTGACGTTCTGTAGAAACTAACGTTAACCATTCTACTCCGGCAGTTTGAGTGGGCATGGCAACACCCTCACTCCTCTCGTCGGCTCTCCCACGTGTCGCGACGCTCGAAAAAAGAATCAAGCCTTCAGTTCCACTGGCGTGTGGTTTCCAACATGCTGCGGGCGGCTCCGTGGAACAGATTACCTCTCACAGCACGGTGGTTAAAACAGGAGTACAGAATGGACTTTGAGCCCAGTCTGCAGCCTCCTCTGCACATCCCTGTCGCATTCGGTAGTGTGAGAGCCAAGAAACGTCAGCAGCAGGCCGTAGGAGTGGAAGACGAGGGGGTGAAGTCCAGGTGTTTCATCTGCAAAGGCTCAGTCAAGGTAGTCAAGACATTTATTATTTGATGTGGAATGTTTGATGTCACTCATTCTATTATAGTTCATATTTAGAGTGTAGACGGAGACAAAACAAGTCACGTCACTTTCAATAGAGTTTATTCAAACAGTCATTAGATGAAAAGGTGTGTTATACCCTGTACTATCACAGAGTCAACTGAAAACCTCCAGTTACCTAAGGCTACTTTGCATGTTTTTGGACAATGGGAGGATACTGTATAGAAATACACCACATATAATATGTGGTCAGAATACAATGGTCCCTTGTCTATCGCCGTGGTTACATCCCAATACCGCCCGCGAAAGGCGAAATCCCACAAAGTAGAGATATATATTAACCCTTTACAAATAAAGATATTGTAGGGTGTTAAATATGGCAAAAAAAAAAACAAACAAACAAAAAAAAACAACGTAATTTTACAAACTCACAAATCGCATTATTTCTTGCAATACCCCTCTATGTATGTGTTACAAATTGTCTTTTAATTCATTATTTAAAAATATTTCCTTTCTGGTTTTTTTTCTTTTTTTTAATTTAAGAATTGTATATATCGCAAAAACCCACGATAGCGCGAACAATCCGCAATACAAGAATACATTTAACATATTAAAAACCTGCGATGAATTGAGAACGATACAGCAGGAAATATATATATTATACAGGGATAACTAATCTCTACAATATGAGTTACAGGACCAAGTATTCATTTGGCAACACCTTAGCTATTGAAAAGTAATTTAGTGATTTAATTAAAAAAAAAAAAAAGTTCATTTGTAGCCATGTCCTAGTGACCAAAACGAAATGTTCTAGGGCAGTCATGGACAAACTAAGGCCCGGGGGCCAGATGCAGCCCGTTCAGCTTTTTAATCCGGCCCACCAAACTTGTACAAATTATATAACTTATTAATGTCATCCAGGTCAAAAGTTCTGTTAGGCAATTATTTAAAAATATTTTTTCTTTTTTTAGGCTAGAAAATGCTTATTTTATCACAATGAAATGTGAAAACATTTGAAATTTAAGAATTCTATTCTATTCTATATCAAAAACCCACAATAGCACGAACAATCCGCAATACAAGAATACATTTAACATATTAAAAACCTGCGATGAACTGAGGACGATACAGCGAAGGATGACTAATCTCTACAATATGAGTTACAGGACCAAGTATTCATTTGGCAACCCCTTAGCTATTTAAAAGTAATTTAGTGATTTAATTAAAAAAAAAAAAAAAGTTCATTTGTAGCCATGTCCTAGTGACCAAAACGAAATGTTCTAGGGCAGTCATGGACAAACTAAGGCCCGGGGGCCAGATGCAGCCCGTTCAGCTTTTTAATCCGGCCCACCAAACTTGTCCAAATTATATAATTTATTAATGTCTATGAAGATTCTCAGTCATCCAGGTCATGGTCAAGTCATCCAGGTCAAAAGTTCTCTTTTCAACTTTTCAACCATAATTTATTAATATTATCATTATACGTCTGCCTTTTACCTGCAATACCCACGTTTCCCCAATAGATGGCGTAGAAAATGAAAAAAGTCTTTTAGCATTTTAGTCATTCATCTTATTTCACACAAACGCTCCATCTATCTGCTCCTGACCCGTCACTTCGTTCTGTTTTTCTTTTTCTTTAAAGGTGTCAGAAAGGCTAAGCTGTTTCCACTCATCCTGTAGCATGAACAGTCATATGATATGCCTGGCAAGGCGTTTCGTGAAGTCCGAGCCGTCACACTTTCTGCCCGTGGAGGGAGATTGTCCCGACTGTGGCCGCTCGCTGCTATGGGGGAGTCTTATTCGCCACAAACACGGCTGCTTGGGAGATTTGGAGGAAATCTCACCATCTGCAACTGAGGTTGGTAACATGGCAGTGATGATTTACAACAATGTTCTTGCCTTTTTTGCCAGATACATACAGTACGTACTCCATATGACATGAATAATTTCATGATTAAATTAATTCCTGTTTCTCTACAGAGCCACTGGGCCGATGAACTGAAACTATGAAAGAACTCAGGCAGCAACCATGATGTTTATTTATTACAATGAAATATACTAGCCAAAAAATGTGGTTTTTTTTTTACATGTGATCATGAAGCAATGTCTCTTTGTTTGAATAATTTATTAAAGATTTTTGTAGCATATTGTGACAAATATTTCTTTTTGAATCTTTCAAAGTCAAGTCCATTTTATTTGTACAGCCCAGATTCACAAATCACATTTGTCTCAAAGGTACCAACCACCCTAACCGGGATTCAAACTTGCCCAGGAGGTGAATCCTGGGGTTCCACACCAATGACAGAGACATTGCCTCTGGGCCAAAGCACCACCTCATTGGACCGCACACTTTAAATTATTACTTAAACTACATTGAAAAAAAACCCAACCCAAAGACATTTAGGTGTATGCAGTCAATGTCTATATTGAGCACCATGGTAGATCCCCCAGCAGTCTAGACCTATAGCAGCACACATATCTCGGCTTTACCTGAGTTAGCCCTTTGAAAACTGGTGCTGTGCAAATAATAATTTAACTTCAAGGTTTTTGATATGAAAGGGAAATTTCAGGAAATTTTTGTTTACTGCAAATATTGTAATTTGTCTTTGTCTATGTGATAGTAAGAGGCAGAACAATTAACATCTCTTCCACTGGGTAGCAGCAGCTATAAAAAAAGAGAGAGAGAGGCTCAGAGATGTTGAAGGAGATCTTTGTGCGTCTTTACACATTTCCTGCTAGTATATATAGTAGTGTTGTGTTCTACTAAACAGGACCACAGTTCAAACTTAGTATGCAAATTGCCAGTAAAATTATAACAAGGAGACCATTACATTTAATTACACATATTTTTGTGACATTTTTGGTCAGTGATGCACTGAGGGTTTTTTTTTTTTTCTAATGTAAAACATGTGCTGCGGCTCATGTTGGAAGAAACTACAGGACTGTTCATCTCTCACTCGTCTCACTTAGTGCCCTTTTCGAACAATAAGGTTCACTAACAAACTTTTTAACCAAGAAATCTGACCACAGGTAATGGTGCTTGGTTAAGGAAGCGGACTTTGGTCCGGAAGGCGTCAGGTTCGAGTCCACCTGCTGCCAAGTTACCACTGAGGTATTCTGAGCATAGCACCGCCCCCACACACTGCTCCCCGGGTGCTTAAAGCTCGCTACTGTTCACTTTGGTGATGGGTTAAAAGCAGAAGTCACATTTGGTTGTGTGCAGTGGTGTGCAGTGTCACAATGACAAGGATGACAAGTAGTTCACTTTCCTTTCCTCACTTCAAGCCCACAAACCCCCCAAACATGGCCCACAACTAGCTGCGAATTGTGTTTTGATATGGCTGTTGAGGATTTTTCAACTGACTTATTCATTTATTTATTGTTCTCATCTGCAGTGTTGTAACACTAGTAACAGACTTGTTTGGTTTTTTGTTTTTGTAAACCCCTTCTCCCCCCAATTAATTTGCTCTGTTGTGCCTTCCTGCAATACCTCCACATCCTCCAGAGGGCGGCTGTCCAAACATTGGGACCTGCTGCCCTGATTTGTTGGTTCTAGTAACTGCTGTATAAACATTAAACAGTCTACGTAAAACTTCTTCTTTCTGGCTTTACCTTCCTATGCACGATTTACAGAGGTTGTGAAATATAATATACTGAATACCTTCCAAATGTCACTTACTGAACACTAATACATTTTGTCTCAAAACTGCTTAATACAAATGTAAAAAAAATATATATATTACATTTTTAATATATATACACAACATGTGTATATATACACATACCTATATAAATATATATAGCATATGTTCCTCGTTCTGAACAGTATAAATAGCGCCTGCGTTACACAGACTACACTACCTATAATGCACTGCGGACTAAAATACACGCGGACATGCTCAATTTAAATTTAAACCAGCGCAACACAAACAACCACGTCACAGTATATCACCGACCAAAATCATTTACTTCAATATTATAGCGGACAGTGAGGTACGCACTGCTTCTCCAAGCAACCCTTAGCGGAATGTTACCACACACACTCACATTCGACCCGCCGCACTTCCTGGTCCGGCATCATAAAGTGTCCCAGTGGAAGCATGGACTATGGGAGAGCTCTGCTTTTATGTTCCATCTTTAGTGGCGTTTGTGACGGTTATTTTTCCACTTGAGGTAAAACATAACCGTCTCAAACGCCTTTATGTGTGTGTATATACATACATATAGGCGTTTGTGAAGGTTATTTTTCCACTTGAGGTGAAAAATAACAGTCACCCTTTATTTTCCACTTGAGGTCACTTGAGGTCTGCTGAGTGTGCATTTTGGCCACCACTCTCACATGTTTGAAAAACCAGTTCCATTTAGTGACTCATGTGACAGAGGAAATGACAGAAACCAAAAGTTATACATTTGTTTCCCCTTTTTTTCAAAGAAGGACAGTCTCACAGATCAGCCTTTTTTTTCTTCTCTAAATCAACATTTTTTTCTTAGCACATCCTCTGAAACGATCATTTCCTGAACACTGCTTTTCACCAAGCGCAGCTAACAATTTTGTGTTCTGTTCATTTACCGTAGACCAGGAGTGTCAAACTCAAATTCACAGTTGGCCAAAATTAAAAACTGGGATGAAGTCTCGAGCCAAACTTAATATTTATTGAAAAATTGACTGTAATTGTGCATGTTTTCCCTTCTCTCCAGATCTGTGATGTTGAGTTTTTTCATATAGAAACAAACGTTAGCTTTGCCTAAACATGGAATCTGGAACAACCAAAGCTAAATATTATAAACAAATAAGAAATTAAATTTGAAATAAGACACACCAGTTTGTTTCTTATATGTCTCTCACTATCTCCAGCCTTTTGAGTTTCTTTTTACAGTAAAAAGAAACTCAAAGTAAATCTCAGTAAGTAAATATTTTTTACAGACCAACAAAAGAACAATCAAAAATGTATGTGCGATAACACAGCGCATACATTGCTAATACTAGGGGCTATATAATGGCGGGCCAATTCTAGTACACATTTGATATGATCTCACGGGCCAAATATAATTACACCAGGGTCCAGATTTGGTCCGTGAGCCTAAGTTTGAAACCTGTGCCGTAGACAATTGATGGTTTTGCTGCAACAGCCGCACCACCAGCTACAATCACCAGTGAAAAGAAAAAAACACATTCTTAACAGAAAAAAAGTACAGTGGGGCATCAAGATACGAGTTTAATCCGTTCCATAACAGCACTCATATGTCGCTTGTATCTCGATTAAATAACTAAAAACCAACTAATTTGTTCCAACCCCCCGAGAAATATAATAATAATTAATTTAAATTCCCGCCTTCAACTAAACATCAAAAACATAGATATAAATAATATCAAATACATTGATAATATAGAATAAAAATAGCATAAGAAAGCATTTTATATTAATGTTATAAAAATGGGTAAAATAACCCAGAGAGGGACGGTGAGAGAGACGGCACGACAGAATGTGAGTGGAAAAACGGAGCTTGGTTGAACACTAATAACTCGATTTTTCCTCGTATCATGAGGGAAATCTTGCAAAGGTTGCTTACTCGGAATTTGGAAAACGTGTAAGATGTTGTATTTCGAAGGTAATCTTGAAGCCCCACGGTACTTTTGTTTAACTTTTATCAATATTGTCCACTCAGGGGGCTGCAGAGGCCAGCTGCTGCCGCTACATAAGGAGCATTTTTATAATAACGGTGTGTTGCTACAAAAATGGCAAGAAAAAAGACAATTAACAATGAAAGAGAGACAGACTGAGATCATACCACCTAAAAATGTCTACAGGGAAATTGCAAAGAAAGTCAGGGTGTCAATGACTACAGTTTGCTTCACCATCAAAAGGGCACTCAGAAACTGGGGGAAACTCTTGACAGGAAGTGGTCTGGCAGACCCAAAGCCACAACTGAATCATAAGACAAGTTTCTGAGTTAACAGCTTGCGTGATAGGCGGCTCTCACAGGACAACAGCTTCAAGCACAGCGTAACAGTGGTCGTAGTAAGAAAGTCTCGAGCTGCGGGTTTGACAGTACGAGTTGCAGCAAGAAAGCCATTGCTAAGACGTCAGAATAAGACAAGTAGGCTCTCCTGGGCCACGAAATACCCCCATTGGACTGAAGAAGACTGGAAGAAGGTATTATGAACTGATAAACCAAATATTCCAATCTTCGGTTCATCACGCAGGATCTTTGTACGCCATCGAGTAGGCAAGAGGATGGTTCTGTGACGTCAACTGTCAAACATGGAGGAGGAAGTGCGATGGTCTGGGGCTGTTTTGCTGGATCCAGGGTCGGTGACTTGTACAGAGTGAGCCGCACCCTGAACCAAAACGGCTACCACAGCATCCTGCAGGGCCATGCAACACCCTTTGGTATGAGCCTAGTTGGATCAGAGGTTCATCCTACAGCAAGATAATGACCCAAAAACACAAAGTCCAAGCTATGCCAAAACTACCTCAGGAAAAAAGAACGAGATTGTAAGCTTGAAAACACGGAGCAGTCTTCAGATCGAGCTGGTTTGGGATGAACTGGACAGAAAAGTGAAAGCCAAGCAACCTACAAGGGCCACACATTCATGGGAACTTCTGCAACAGACTTGGGAAGAACCGTCTGAAGAATATTTGATCTCTATTGTAGAAAGAATGCCTCGTGTGTGTTCAGCTGTTATATCTGCCAAAGGTGGCTATTCTAAAGTTTAGAATACATTATAAATTGATTCCAAGACTTCTTTTTCAACTCAAATTGTTTATTTGTTCTCTGCTTTCATTTCAGAGTGCAATGACACATGCCACATGTGTTCAGCTGTTATATCTGCCAAAGGTGGCTGTTCTAAAGTTTAGAATCCATTTTGGTCTATAAAAAAAAAGTGTGGTGTTCTTTTGAGTCACGGCACATATATTTCATCATGAAAAACCCCAAGGCACACCACCAAACCAGTTGAGTCACGGCACATATATTTCATCAGGAAAAACCCCAAGGCACACCACCAAACCAAGATCTCACAAAAAGTACGTTTTTGTAATGAAATATAATCATCTTTTCTAGTTTAAATGACCTCATAACTGACTAAAATCTCGCTCTGTTTAGTCAAAGACAACACTTTAATAGTGGCAGGAATTGAAGAAAGACGCTCACAAAGATCTTCTTTAACAGGTCTGATTATATATATTGTTTTCATCATTTTTCTGACGAATAAAGAAAAAATATATGTTATTAATAAATAATAGTTTTCAGCCCAATTAAGTGAAATTGGATAATTTAAAAAGTTATTAATAAATACACTAGTGTGCCACAACACAGTGGTTGGGAATCACTGGTATAGATGTATGTTAAGTAGGTTAAGAAACTCTTTATTAAACACCTTTTAAGCTGTGCGGGTCATACAGAATGACTTTGACACCTAAACTACAGTTTCCCTTTCCCTTCACCGCCATTAGATTTTTTTTTTTTTAAATTGCCCCTACACCCACAGGTTTAGGTTCTGCCTCTGAATAGGTTTAACAGAAACAGCCAGTGATGAAAGATAGGAACATCCGGGCGCAGAGGAAGCTGATGTGTCGAGCCGAACACAAACATCTGGACTCCGTCAAACCACACAAACTGACCCTCCCAGTCAACTACTAAATATCGGAAATGTGTTCAAGAGTTGTTTAAACAACGTCCCCCTTTTCTTTTTTTTACCTTCCAAAATATTAGACTTAGGAAAAATATTTCTATTTCCTCTCTCTCTTCACAGACACTTCTCCACCAAATGCCAAGCAGATGCGACCTTAAGGTCTGCGAAACATTTGAAGAGGACAGAGAGAGAGTGTTCCGCCCTGCGTCCTCCACTGCAACCTGATTCCTCACTCACTCACTCACTCACCATTTTGCAACACAGATATCAATTGTAAGGGACTGGCTTGACTAAGTCGTGCTGGAATTTCCCTTGTGTTGGAAAATGTTTGACCTACATTTCATACAATCATTTCATTATCTATCTATCTATCTATCTATTGCAGTAAACTTGCATCTTAAAGAGAGCTTGGAAACACCTCGAAAACCTTCAAAGATCTAAAGGGAAATGTGATCTTAAACTGCTTTTGTAAAATCACCTTTTGTTTTGACTGCACTCAGACCAATATCTACAATATCGTGACAGTGTCCTAACCTCTGGACCTTGACCACCCGTTTCTCTATTGTTTCTTTCGTCAGGCAATAAAACATTTCATGTTAACCAGTGCTTTATTTCTATTTTTTTAACAGTCTTTTCTTAGCTTTGTTAAACCTAACAGCATCTGTCTTTCTTTTAAACAGGGGCCTCAAACTCAAATATGTTGGGGGTGGAGGGGGTACTGTCACTCCACCAGCTCACTGAAGGACTATTCATCCAGTTGCGGGCCACATATTTGTGGTCCGTGGACCACCATCTCACTGAAGGACTATTCCTCCAGTTGCAGGCCACATATTTGTGGTCCGTGGACCACTTTCAGCCCACAGGCCATAAGTTTAAGAACCCTGCGTTTCTTCTAACTGTCAGGAGTTTAAGAACCCTGCGTTTCTTCTAACCTTTGGTATGGTATGGTTATTTTTATTATTTTTTTTACATTATGGATTAAAACAGTGCAAGTACAACACACGCATACACAGACATGGGAATATATCAACCTTTATTGGCACAGGCGGGTAAAAATAGGTCAAAGTGCTTACATTCTGTGGAAGTCCAACAAAATCCCTTATTCGTGTTCATTTCCTGACCACTTACATTATCACCTGACTGGAGAAACTCATATAGAAAACACTGACACAGTAACAAAAGTACACAAAACATTTTTCTTTTTTTGTAATTGAATCAAAAATTAAATACTCGACCTTTGTGAAAAGCAAGTCTTGCCTACTTATTACAACAGAAACGGTGTCAGCTCGTACAAATAAAACACACATCTATAGTTCCCTTTAGTGGTCGATAGTGATTTCCCTTTAAATCAGTTCCCTACAATGAGATATTATTATTTGTAAGTATTCATTTTGTTTAATGCCAACACCTGCTATTAAAGGTTGAGAAATGTAGCATGAACTGCCTGGTCGGCAAGCAACGTCCAAAACATTAGGAAGTTATGTGGGGTAGTATGGGACGGGATAAGAAGACAGGAAAACATAGCGTAGGAGAGCACAGAGGACAGTCCCACAGTGTCTGAAGGTCTAGATTTGATGTTATGAACTTTATTGATCCCACACTGGGGAAATTCTTGTGTTAAGAGCAGATGTGCTTCCACAGGCTGCCCAATAAAGGGCGCCAAATGTGTAGTCCCTCTGGGAATCGAACCCAGGACTCTCTATGTGAGTGTGGTCGTAGTGAGCAAGTCTCGAGCTGCTAAGCCATTGCTAAGATGTCAGAATAAGAGTTGAATCACGTGCTGCTCTTACTCACATTTCGGCCACTAGTCGAAGGCCTGAATATTTGTAACTTTTTAGTTTTTGCCAAATTCTGGACCAAAACTGGAGCTGTGTTTATTTGCAGCCCTCAATGGAGACACGGTGTGAATGCTCCTCCAAGTCCCAAAGTCACTGGACCGCACCTTGAGAATGTTTCCAGTGACCATCCCAATGATTTTCTTATACCCACTGGTTAGCCATTAATGTACAACACCGGAATGTTCTCTTAGCTCGTCCTTGTAGGCAATGACTAGGTCAAATCCTCTTTCCTAACACAAGATGCTCAAGGGCGGACAGTCGACTTAGCGAGACCCATCCTTGCTATCCTATCTACTAACTTCAACTGACCGCACGAACACACGATAACTACATACTTTGAAGTATTGCAGAACAAAAAGCAACAAACGTGAAAAGCAATCAGTGCAATTATTGTAGACAAGGCAGAAGTATGTCCCTTAACAACAAACATAAGTTTCCCCCTTTTTCACCCATTATAACAAAGACAGTAAGAGAACCAAAAAAAGCTAGATGTTCTTGTAAGGTCCCTTATTACACCCCTAGATAAAGGTAGACCAATGTTTTATCATTTCAAAAACAGATGACTTACAAACGACGTATCACATCGTGTTGACTTCGTAACCCTACTGTAAGGTGTGTATGAACGGTTGATTAATCACCCTACTTTGATTGAACAAGTGACAAATATTTTGGGATTTCTTCGCAACTCTACGCCAGTAAACAAAATGCCTGCCAGTTTGGGGGAACGCAGCATTACACATTCGATTTTCTTCATTTTACGGACAAATTATGAAAAAAAAAAGAAAAAAAAAAGGCTGACATATTATTTGTTGTTAAACTATATTCACTGCAGCTCAGCTGTAATATACCATAGAGTCACGACTGACACTAATTTATCCGTGATGCTAATTTATTGCATAACTAGCCACCAGGGGGCGAAAGATAAGCATATCCTTAAAACAATTTTGACTGAGATATTTTTGACATGTAGGCTGTCAGGACGAAAGTCTGCATTGATTTCTCATTAATACGTTTTTCATTTAGAATGCTGAGTCAGTGGTTTGTCGTCGTTGGAAAAACAAGATGATGCAGCTAGTATGGTGAAAAAAAAATAAAAATGGGCATCAACAACTATAATTCTGTCTTGTAAAAAAGTAATTGACTCAAACCTTGTTTTCTCAAATTATAGATTTACATTTTCCTCTTAGGTCTAATTTTGTCTCTCCCTCTCCAAAGCCCCCTCCCACCCAATGCCTTTGCCATGTCAGTTGTGCAGTGCTGCCTTATCAGGTCAAAGTCCACAGCCTTGGTTGTGTCAGCCAATCGGAGCTCTCCTGCTATGTAGGCTAAGGGTTTTACCCTTAAAGGTGTCCGATGTGAAATTTACTGTTTAAATGTTAAGATGGAAAAATTAATTTTAGAGATAGAGGTTTAAAAAAAAAAAAAAAAGTACTTTCCTTTAGTTTCTTTTCCCTTCCTGTACATGTGCTAGATTGTTATCGCAACTTTTATGACCCCTTTTATAGACGACAAACATTTGCAAACAGATTCATCACACGGTATGTTATCTGACATAATAAAAAGGATCAAATTTCCCGTTAAGCAAGAGGAACTGACAGACTGAACTCAAATATCTTATTTAAAACTTACATTTTAAGTAAAAGGCTAGATAAAACTTCAATTTCAAATTTAGGGGAAAGTAAGATAAACTTCACCGCAGTCAATTAACCAAGAACAGTTTAAGTTTCTTAGCTGTTAGCTCAGGAGTTTTTTTTCTAGCATCACAGCCTTTCTGGTCAACTATAGCGGTCACCTCTGGATGACCTCCCACAGCTCTGATTGTCCACACCTCACAAAGACTGGTAGCCATCGGTCCTTCTTTTGCGGGTCAACAGATAGGCCACTACCACAATGATGATGAGCACCAGCAGAGCGATTCCTACGCCAATGGCCACGCGGTAGTCTGGCTGGTCAGCTGCACAATGGTCAGCTGGAAAACAAAAAAAATAAAAAAAAATTGTTAAAAGAGTGAATAGATTTCATGGACAGTGGGTGTTCAACAATTAGTGTCTTCGGTTTCAAAACTAGGGGTTTTAAACTCCCGGCCTAGCTGTCCCTTGAAGTATTTTTGAAAAACAATTACTTTCAATATATAATATTTTTTTCGTTAATTGGTCAATTAATATGATAAAAAATGGAATAATGGTTGTACAATAATATTATGCAGTATTTAACAATACTTACTTTCCAAACTATCTGGGTTTTTTTTTGTGGGTTTGAGACCCCTGTTAAGTCCCCCTTTTAGATGGAACCAAATATTTTGCACATTTACCAACTTCATTTGTTCAAACGTTAAACCGTTTTTTTATGTTTTGTATTCATTTGAACATAGCTATAATTTGAAAAACCTTTGTATTGTTTTTGTACTGTAGATACTATGCTCAATAGTTTTTGTTTCGTACATTTGCTTCAATTGTCAATAATAGATAATTCATTCACTAATTACAGCATTTCATTAATAATTAATGTCACATTAAACATAAGCGGTAGTGTCAAACACAAAAAGCGGGTGCTTGTTTATTAGGAACTATATGGCTTAACTTGTCTTTTGACCCCAAGCACGTCTTTCTTCCTGCTCTAGTGAAATATTTAAAATTTTAAATATTTTACTTTAAAACCTTTATGAATGTAAAATCTCTTTGTTGGTTGCTCACACTAATACGATAAGCGCTTCTCTATGTAAACGCCTGAACACAACACGGAAGTTATTAGTTAGAATTATGGGAAGTATGCAACAAGGTAACGTCAGCTCAGGATGGTGGGTGGAATCAGACTAGTGTCAGGTTTGTTTGGTTCTCTCTCAGATGAATTTGGAGAGAAGGAACATTTGCTATTGTCACAGTAACAGCAAAAAACAAACAAAGAAATCACAGCAATTACCTGTTGAGGTAATGAAATAAGGTTCCATAAATCTGTGACTTCACACAAAACCTGCTTCTATACTCCAAGTACTACACAATATATTACACAATAAATGAAGACATTTGTAGCGGATCTGCATGGAAGCTGATTTAAACCAGGTTGTTTTTCAACATTTTCAACATTTCTCATATCTTACAGTTGTGGTAAATGAGATATTGAGTTGAAGTTCGACCCCGCGGAGCCTACCTAGGTCATAACTAATGACCTAGTTGGATGGGTTATTATGATGTGTGGAGCTTTACAGTCGTCACCGTAATGCCATCAACTGGGTCAATGGCAGCAATAGTAAACATGTACGATATTAGCAGTGGCTAACTGTTTAACACGCAAACCAAAACGTGACATATATGTATATGCCATGTAAATATATATATATATATATATATTTCTCACCAGTCCTGTTCCAATATGTACAGTATATGATGAATCTGAATTAAACTATATGCTGAATCACTCAGTGGTGAGTCCAGGTTATATTTTACTTGAGAGGGAAACACAGCACTGGTGAACTGAATTTTTTCATTTTCCTTCCTCATTCTTAACAAGGATCACAAGATCACCATTTGAGACTCCACCTACTTTTTTTTCTTTTTTTTGAAAACTTGTCAATGCGTTTTCTATGATCTACTGTAGGGTTGAAAAAAGAGCTTTGGCCACATAGGTAATCAAGCTGTCTAGTCAGGGTTCATTTGTCAGCTATGAATGAGGAAATGAACTCTTTTCTCACATAAATACCATATTTGTTTGTCCAAGAAGGGCCAGACAATGCGTGGCTAAGATAGTAGACACTGTAACCTGTGTTATTCTTCTCATCCCTGAGTGTGCATGTGTGTTCTGGTACAGCAGTGCCCAACCCTCGGCCTGGGGACCGTTGCTGGTCCGTAGGCCATTTGGTACTGGGTCGCAGTGGACTGAACTGAAAAATGTACTTCAGTACAGTTCATTTACTCATTTAAAAGTTTCAAAACAATAAGTCATTCAGACTCTGATACTACCAGAATAAAGTCTGAAAGACATTTTATTTAGAATATGTAATGGCCCTTCAACAATGGCGCGGTATTACGGCCCACAGTAACGACTGGTACCGGCCGACCGGTCCTTTGAACAAAAAAGGTTGGGGGCTGCTGTTTTAGTAAATACAAATATCTCTTATTAACGCAGTTGCATCTGTTTTGCTTTGGGGTCTCATTAATTAGCAGCAATTACACTCACGAGTTCCAAAGTCTTTGCTCTCGGGCAGGCCGAAACCCTGCATGCGGTTACTGCTGATGTCCAGGTACAGTCCGTTTCCCATAAAGACCGAATCATCCTTGCAGGAGTAGCAGTGTCCAACCTTTGCAGGGAAAAGATGCATTGTTTTGTTGGTGGCTTCGTAGGTGTTCATCTCTGTGACAGTCAAAACAAAGTCAAGTTAGGTCACATTTGTTTTGGAAAACCAAAGTCATATGATTCAGACCTTAAAGACAATTGCAAATAAAATGACTGCCTTTCATCAGATATGGAAGGAAACTAGTCTGACAGCATTGCAAGAAAAGTAGGTGGATCATTCAGTGCCATCACATGCTAAACAGTAACTTCCCAGATAATGTAACAAAAAACAAGGAAGTTGTCGCCTCTAAAATGCTTCTTGTCTGTGACATTTGCCACAGTTGTCCAGCAATTATTTGCCGCTATGTCAACGCATAATAGTGCATGTCATGTGGGATGCACCGAACCAGATGACGAGTCTAAGGTTTGGTCAGTTAAAGGATATAAATCATGTGACAGCTATAAACACATGCTGGTAATAAACAGAGGTTGAAACTTACGCCCTTTGACGAAGGCATAGTTGATTTTGAAGGACAGGTAATAGACATAGGCGGTGTTATCAGCAGCACTCTGCGAAAAAACAAAAGATTACAGGACAGGTTATTATAACGGGTAGCAGGTGGACCAGTTAGCAAAGCACGGAACGAACAACAAGCTTTAACTGTATATTTAAAAGAACAAACGCAACTTGGATCCAGACTCTGCTATGTCAGATAAAGTTAACTTATCTGGCACTAAAGGCTAAATAAATACATACTCCTGAGGAGCGTATGGATGTTGGGATGTTAAGTTAACTACGTGACCTTTATAAGACCATATTTTCCAGACTATAAGTCGCACTTTTTTAATCCTTTGGCTGGGTTTGCGACTTATACTCAGGTGTGACTCAGGTGGGACTGCTTGCAGAACATGAGCAAATAAATCAAGAAAAAAAAGAATCTATATATAGAATAATGTCTTAATTAGTATTTTAATATACTGTATTATACTTTTATAAAATATTAAATTGCTAAATGGCTAAATAAAAGCCGTTTTACAACAGCGCAGAAAATACGGTACTGTCGAGCACTGTGTTTTACCAGTAGATCACAAAGGGAGTGCTTGCAGAACATGAGCAAATAATATATATATATATATATATATATATATAGATATGTCTTAATTAGTATTTTAACAATACTGTATTATACATTTATAAAATATTAAATGGCTAAATAAAAGCCGTTTTACAGATTATGCATTTACAGCTCTGGAAAAAAATGGCTACTCCACGTTTATCATCACATAAATCAGCATTTCTACATATTGTAAGAAGAGTTCCCCCAATATTGATTTCTGATCTCTTCATGAGTTAAAAGATTTTTTTTCTGTTGTTTCTGGTTTTCTGTTGGTTGGAATAAAAACGTTTTCTTTGCATTATTATTTGTTTTTCACCAGTTCTCACTTTTGGGAGAGATGTTGTCAGTACTTAATAGAATGAAAAACCCATCTATCCATCCATCCATTTAAAAAAAAAAACAAGTATTTATTTTAGTTAAACACCTATAATCAGTGAAACCAGAGAAACCTGTAACAAGTATTTATTTTAGTTAAGCACCTATAATCAGTGAAACCAGAGAAACTGCTAATTACAATGCATCTTTAATATTTTTTCCAGAGCTACTGGCATGTGTGTGTTTGGGTAGAAATGGCTTTTTTCATGGGTAGATAAAGGTAATAACTTGTCATTCCTTGAACTCCTTCTGCAGATTGAAGGTGCTTGTCTTTTAAATGTTTAAATGCTGCCAGGGGTTTAAAAAAAATAGGTAAAAGCACCAGTAATTTTCCAAATGGAGTAAAGTACTGTTTTAAATGCTTTGGGACCACAGTACCTATTTAGTACCGGTATAAAAAGATACATTAACAGAGCTTTTTACAAAGCAGTTTCAGGCATTCAAGCCCTGTTGAACTAGAGGCTTAAACCACAAAAAATGAATCACACATGTGTTTCTCCATGTCACATGTCATGTGCTTCAAGTATGATTAACCAACATGGTTAATCATACTTCTCTTTTTAATAGCTGTTTCTGATTTAACTTCCCTTATGAAGTTTCCAATAAGGCATTTTAAGTCGAGTCCAACCTGCTTTTAGTTTAGCATAAGAAGAAAAAAAAGTTGTTTTACTTTATAATGACAAATGAAGAAAAACTAAAATACCTTGTTGAACAAAAACGTAATGAAACCCTCTTTGAAGGAAAGTGTGAGGTTGGCCTCCTTGTCTCCACAATGTCCACTGCCAGTGGTGGCGCCTGGCTGGACGATAAAAGTCCCGTTGAGCTGAAAGATAAAACAGTGAGCTTCTTAAGGTAGAATTGTAGCTACAATAGGAAGAAAAAGGGTGGACAACAACAATGGAATGCTATTTAGCACAAGATAACAAGATACATGAATCAAATTAGCCTTTAGCTCACTAGCTTACCCAATAAGTAGATTGCCGTTTATTGGTAAATTGCAAAAGGAGGTGCTGGTAAATTACAAGGAATTTTAATTGAAAATAAATATCATTATACAACGTTTAGCAGTGACATTATGCTGTAAGAATTTATTCATGTTGTGCCACACACCTACATGCATTTAATCAGTACCTCGACGTATAATTTAAATAGAAAAGGAACGTGAACTCCTTGTCATTGTGACACATCAGAACACCTCAGTGGTAACTTGGAAGCTGATGGACTCGAACCTGAAACCTTCCGGACCCAAGTCCGCTTCCTTACCCACTAAGCCAACACTGTGCCTGCATGTTCAATTGGCCCCACTGCCCCTGCATGTTCAACTTGTATTGGTAACTATATTCATATACTTATGTAACATTTTCAATATAGACAGATCACTTCAGACGGGTCATTTCAACAAGACCCAGACAAAATAGTGTGGAACAACTGTTTTAACGGGTCAAACGTACCTCTGCTCTCGCAACTCGGATCTGGACTGCCATTTGAGCTTTCACACAAATCCCATCCTTGTCTGTCGCGTTGTAAATTCCTATAGTCAAGTTGGTTGGGGGAGTAGGTTGAGGAGCAGGGGTTGAACTTGTTGTCGTCATGGTGGTTGTAGTAGCCGTGGTGGTGGTGGTAGGCTTTGTGGTGGCGGTTGTGGTGGTGGTGGGCTTTGTGGTGGCTGTAGTGGTGGTAGGCTTTGTGGTGGTGGTAGGTTTTGTGGTGGTGGTGGTGGTGGTAGGTTTTGTGGTGGTTGTAGTGGTGGTAGGCTTTGTGGTGGTGGTGGTTTTTGGATCTGCTGAGGTGAACTGCTTTGGAGGGGACACAGTTGCAGGAGGCTTGATATCGTTTTTATCTTCAGCCAGGGACAGTGCTAAAAAACAAACAAAACAAAAAAAAAACAGAGAGACAAAACCATTTCAATGCCTGAAGGACCTCCCACCTCTGTAGACCAATACAAGTACAGTAACTGGCAAAGGCAGTACCACACTACAAGTCTTTAAAAGTCATTACATCACTGTAAAGAGTAGTTTCACTCTTTAGTCTAGTTAAGAGTGTCCCACATCATCACATGTTTAACCATAGGAAGAAATGAACAGTGTGCCTCACTCAAAGGCCCTAGAAAGTTTGTGTGTAGCCATGCTTGGTGGGATTGTTAATCTTTTATTATGTTCATTTTACCCAATTGTTTTTGTCTCTGATGAGTAAAGTTGAACAGGGTTGCCTCAAATCCTAATTTACAGTACTTTCCTCCACACTGAAAATGAGATCAGCGCAGGAGAGCCGCTTTAACCTAGTGGTGTCCAAGGGGAGGTGAGGTTATACAAAGTTCAGCTGTGTTTTGATTATCAGTGACTGTGTTAGCTACAAAAGAGGCGTGCAGAAGCTCATTTCTTTTCCAAATTGTGGTAGACAACGTAAGGTTCTGCTCAGATTTAAACATAGATCCCTGGAGAGGGCCAATTATGTTAGTTATTAGTGGTGCTTTGGCCCAGAGGCAATGTCTCTGTCATTGGTGTGGAACCCCAGAGTTCACCTCCTGGGCAAGTTCGAATCCCAGTTAGGGCGGTTGGTACCTTCCACTGGATTCACTGGTTGGTACGGTGCAATGTGATTTGGGTGGAGACTGCTGCCCCCGCGACCCGGTAACGGAGAAGCGGATGAAAATGGATGGATGGATGGATGGATGGATGTTAGTTGTTAGCATGAGCATTAACGTGGCAAAACTTAGGCACATGTACCATATAGTATGAGCCAGAAACCTTTAAGAAACAAGGACCATGTTCATAATTACAAATCTAACCTCTCTTATTTGGCGAAATACAATACAAAGGCTAACAGAGCTTATTTTTACTCATGTTGTGATTTGGATGTCACTATTAATTCAACCAAAACGTGTGGAGATGCAAAACAAAAGACAATACACGAGCATCCCTGTGTGGAAATAGCTTCCATCTCCACGTTGTTGCTGAGTGTAGATAAGAGGCCAGAGCGAGGGGTTAGGGCTTGTGTATGAGCGTGAGGGAGGCGGAGCCAAAAAGCAGTATGTGTGTAGCGACAAGAGGAGAGAGGGAGGAGATATAGGTGGAGATCTTGCGGCCCATGTATTGTCACTTTAACGCAAAAAGTAATCAATACGAGCAATATTGTCCCGTGTTACATCTTGTTTAGAAATATATCGATATACATTAAAATATCGAGATATCGCCCAGCTCTACTTCTAATCATACAATTTGTACTACACAAGTACTAATTGTAAGGAGTGTCTGATGCTCAGTAACTCTTAGTTCAAACTAATGTTCTTATTCATACGTTATAATGTCAACCACCGCAGAATCTCTCACAAGGTTACCAAACTCATTCTACAATGCAACATTTTGTAGACCACATTCACTACTATTGTTACAAAACTTTTTTAAAACACTTTTATACCAAATCTTAAAAAGTACAAATAAGTTTAAACCTTGACTGTAGACAAAAAAAAAGAATTAATTTAAAATGAATTTGCCTTTCTGAGTTCCCTTTTCTCCTTGCAGTAGCCTGTACCCTGAAGGGACCCCGCTCCCCATTTTGGGAACCTTTATTGGGTCACATACATGTATAACGCTTCGTCTGGTAAATCACTTAAGCTAGTTAAAGGGTTTGCTGTACTACCGTTAAGATTTCATATGAACGCGAGTAAAAAAAAGAGCCATCAAAAAAGTCCTGTTCTTTTCAAAATAACATTTAAACGTTTAAATGACAGTTGTTTGAACTTAATGGCTGACATTTTAACATCTTAAACTGCTCGAAATGGTTGACGTCAGTCAAAATAATGTGTTTCAACATATTTGGACCACACAATCTAAAACGTTTCCAGCACTGAGTCATGTGACTCCGACCTGTACTTACTGCGGACATTTCTATTCCTCAAAACAATCCAGGAAGTTGTGAACACTTTGACAAATACAGTACACCGTCTTTCTGTACGTTTCCTTTATATTCACAGGCATAAAATATCGTTTCGAAGACCACTGTCAAATACCATGTTACAAACAGGCAAGAATTAAATACAATAAAAGTTTTTTAGTGTTAACTAAAGGTTGATAAAACATGTAACTATGGAGTTGTCCTTTAAGTTACTTACCTGAAAATGCGCAACAAACCAGAAACAGGAACACAACGGACTTCTTCATGGTGGCTGACAGGTGCTAAACGACTTCTTCGCTGACAGACTAACTGTCGTTAATGTCTCCTGCTTTCACCTTCTTTGTGAAGAAGAGATCTACGTTCACGCGCTTAACTATCAGGTTAGTGAAGCTCGCATAGGCTATAACTACAACATAAGGAGACACCCTTCAAAATAAAAGCACGATAAATTCACGTACAAATCAGTCATTCGCGAACACTGCATCACATATATACTTGGCTCAATTTTTCTCCCTAAGAATAGGTTATTTTCTTAACTTATTTGTCTCGGTTGCTTGTGTCAAGTTCCCATCACATCAACTTTGAACTTTGTACACCTAGAATAATGCTTCACGGAGTGCGACTAACACAGTTGTGATATCACGGACCATTACATGAATGCAATGTTACAACATTTTTGTTGGTCTAACATTTTGTTGGTCTAACTTAGTCAAAATATTTTTCATAAAAATGCAAATACTGATATACATACATTTTTTAAGAGGAATGCTAATTTTTGTTTTTCAAATAATTTTGATCAATCATTTTTACAATGTGGAGAAATGCAGTTATAAAATGTACTGTCGGTAGAAAAAAATAATTCTTACGTTAATATAATTTTTTTTACTGATTACCTTGCATTAAATAGCAAAATTAACTTTTTTAATAAACTATTTCATCATTATTAGAAGGTTTCAACATTTAGAGTATTCAAAAGTCTAGTGATTTTTTGTATGCATGTGTGTTAAATCTACACATTACTGTAACTACAATGAATATGTTAAAAGGTGAAAATACTAACAAAAACAAGCCTATATACTTATTAGTATTCCTATTAAGCCTTATTATTTTTGCATTTAAAGCTTCACATAAAACTTTGTAAACGTCACGCCTGCTAAACGTATCCAACAGTATATTTTGAAAGTACCAACAGGATGCTCTAGTGTTGCTTTGAAATGCTTATTGTTTGTGTAGAACTTAGAACTGCTCAGGAAACGAAACCGATGTGACAGGACCGGGGTGTTGACTGAATAAGGAGAATAAAATGGTCACATGTAAATCGAAAACGAAATGGGAACGGCGAACTCATCCCAAGCACAAATACTCCTGACAACAACGACACATTTTACTTTTATATATGTAGGTGAGATTCGGCAGCTTACTATTTTTCGGTTTTACACTTTTGTTGCATTTTGTCACCCTGCTGCCATTAGGGCATGTTTGAACCATATTAACTTTGCCTCTCGCGTCATCTCCAAACCTTCTCTTTTTTGTAATTCAAACAACAACTCTCCTGTCACACATCACCTCCAACACTTCACCAAATCATAAGCAGGAATATATAACCAGTACAATGTGACAGATTAACTATGATACCTACAAAGTTCAGGGTTTGATGCCACATGAATTGAATGTCCCCATTCTCAGGCCAGTTTGAACCAGGAAGGGACACTGAAAGCTGTGTCAAATCACCATACAGACTATCACTATGTTGACCCCTGTTGACAAAGATGTGGCATTATCCTGAAATTAAACCTTTTCAAAGGTATAAAATATAAAGTGGGAAATTCAATTGAATTCAATTTTTATTTATAGAGCGCATTTCATGCACAAAGCAAACTCAATGTGCTTCACAGTGGTTCAGACAGTTAAATATAAAAAGAAAAAAAAAGCTGTGGTAAACACCTCTTGCCCTTGACAGCTGTGAGATCAGACAGACATTTTTTTGTCTTCTATCTTACTTTCATTTCCGTCACTGACCACATTACCTTACTGCATAGCTACTGTGACATTACTAACCTCCTCTATCTTTACATACAGTAAGTCTTTTTTACATAAGTCTTTCATAAGGTGCTTTCTAACCTCCGCTTACATGCTACATGCTACCAAAATGGACCATGGCAATTGCATTTTATTTTCTTTAATGAACATCATAATGTTTTTATTCATTTTATTTAATCATTCTACTTAAATAATACGCTCATTTATTGATATGTTTTTGTGTGTATTTAATTCAACGAAATCTCCGATCCTACTAGATCTATTTGGCAACATACCATAATTTCCCCAAAAACAACTTTATATCAAAGTAAAAAAAATTATCCCTCTTCTGAAAGGACTTATAAAACACACACCAAGTTTATTAATGAGAGATTTCCCTAAACATTTTAAACAGTGGCATCATGTTTTACACACTTTTTTTTAGAAATACTAATGATTACCTGTGTAAAAAACGAATGAGTGTCTTTGTTGTTGATACTGTCGTAGCACTGTCACTGTAATAGCACACGTAGTATGGTTTTATGTAGTTATTGTCATATTTGGTTACTTGTGTATAGATTATTATGTATAGATTATTCATTTTATTATTGTATATATATATATATATATATAAATAAAGGGAAAATAAATAAAGGATATATATATATATATATATATCCTTTATTTATTTTCCCGGGAAAACGTCGTGATAATCCTATCCTTTTCCACCAATCCCGACGCTGTACACAACTTCAACCCGCCTTTCGTGACGACACGCGAGAGGAAACGGTATAGTACCATATTAGGAAAATACTCGGGCATGCGCAGTGGTGTGAGTTTTGTTTGAAGTGAACTGCTGCTTGGAACTGCCCTAGAAGCTGCAAACTCGCCGAGCATTTGCTTGTAAGAGTATTATTTCTTCACATTTTCTCCATCTTCGCGGAGCACCTTTATGCATCACCGAGATCATGCTAGGTCACCATTATTCCACTACCGACAAGTCACAACAACTGGTCAACTATGTGGAGGATTATCTGGAATGTGTGGAGTCCCTTCCTTTGGACATACAAAGAAATGTTTCCCTGCTTAGAGAAATTGACGCAAAGTATCAAGGTACCGTGCTTACACGTTCTTTTAAATCATATTGGATTAGTACTGTTTGTGGAAAAGTGACCAGAGCTACGGGATGGGCTTAAATGGTGTCGCCGAGTGTTTCCATTTTGCAAACAACGAGCACCCTTTAGCGTTTACGTGTATAAACGTTGATGTTGTCAGGTTCAAACCGTAGCCTGTTACTATAGCCAGCCTCGTATTCGGACAACAACATATGAGGGAAAAGAAGAATTGTCCGCATACGTTCCTTGTGTTTTGTATGGGTGTGTGTTATGACGCCAAACTCATTCAAAAAATCCTTATATTTTATACTGTTGTGTTTCGCCATATCTACAATAAATGTATCACATTTTACAGAAAATCTAACAAACCGTAAGCATTGGTAAATTCGGCACTGGTGTATCTCTAATACAGGCACGGTGCCATTGTAAATTAGTAACTTTTTCAGTAGGTACACACAGTACACTGCCGCCCAGTGAGATGTTTCCGCTGTGCTTCATTGTGTGAATTCCAAGAAAACAACAACCACTCCGATATTAACAACACTGTTGTGTGTATAATAGTAACCGAGTGTTTGATAAGTAAGACGTAGCACAAACGGTTTATTTCAGTATTCGTCGGATTACATTTGACCATAGACCGAGGTCGACAAACAGGCGTTTTTCTAATGGAAGCTGGTGTTGCACGCTGTACACGAAAAGCTCCCTCAAAACTATTCACTATTACGGCATTCCCCGCTACATATATACGATATTTGAGTTCAATACTGAGCCTTCTAAAATCCAGGATAGGTGTTAATGTTTTAAGCTTTGCAGACGATTCTTAACAAAAGCTGTTAGTGCGGGGGAACAATTGTCATTGTTGCTTTACGCTGACGCTGGGAGTGTAGCAACGAAACGCAGCTAATGTTAACAACGACTTCCCGTATAGTGTAAACCCCCAGCAAAAAAAACCGGTTTCCACAGGTTTTAAGCAACATTGCTTGTATTCGCCTCGCATCTGTGCCCAGCTCAATGCACGGTCGAGTGCGAACCTCAGATTCGGACAGCTCTTCTTTTCTATGTAAACCCCCACAACACGGGACTGACGTCACATCCTGCACCCGAGAGTCCACTGCAGCTCAGCCCTCTTTCTACAGGCCCTGCCTCTTAGGTGTCTAACTACTTTAATTGCAGCAGATTAAAAATATATTTTTTAGAATTTTTATCAAGAATCACTAAATTAACACGCAGCATTAGCACCAGTGCATGTGCAGTGAACGCTATGCCACAGGAATTAATGTTTACCTCAGTCACATCATGGTCACATGACGCAGGTCCGCTCTGTGGGGTGTTGGTAAGAACAGAGCTTCTGTGTGAACAGAGTACATGTCTTTACTGCGTGCACATTTATTTTATCTGGCTACTCCAAATCTAAAAATATATACTTTTTTAAATTGGGTCAAATTAACCGTAGGTGTTGATGTAATAAGTTTGTGCATTTTTGTTTGTGTGTAACCTATTCACACGCCTAGTAGATTTAGTGTCCAATTTACCCAGCAGCATGTTTTCGGACGCTGAGAAGAAACTGATTCACCCTGAAAATCCCCAGTGAATGTGTTGAGAAACCTGTACACACATACAGAATAACTTTTTTTCTTTTCAGATTTTGAGGATGAACAATTGATTGGGCACAAACAAATCATTCTGCAGTTAGCCTTCTTGAATTTTAGGTGCATAACTGCCCCATTTTTAAGTCTGTCAACAAAGCACAGCATTGGGATTTCTATATGAAAATAAGCCAAAAAAGTTGGATTCATTTTTATGTCTGTTTTTTTTTTTTTGCAGAGGTGCTAAAGGAAGTGGATGAAGTATTCGAGAAGTACAAAGGTGAGCAGGATGTGGCCCAGAGGAAGCGTCTGCAGATCCAGCTACAGCGGGCGCTCATCATCAGCCAGGAACTGGGCGATGAGAAAATTCACGTGGTGACCCAGATGACCGAGCTGGTGGAAAACCGCTCACGTCAAATGGACTCTCACTCCTCGTGCCTGCAGGAGCCCAGTGAGGCTGAGCGCATCCCCACCGAGCGGCGATCAAGTGTACAGGAGCCCCCGCCGCCTGAACGGGCCTCCACCAGACGCCCGCGACGTCAGCGCAACAGCGAGAGTCGCGACTCCAGCCACCCATCTGCCAACGGCTCTCTTTTAGAAGATGCCGCGGAGGAGCTGCCTGTCCCTCCGCCCAGGGAGAAGAAGTCAAAATCTGCAAAGAAGAAGAAACGCAAGTGCAAACAGGAACGGGACACTTCCCCTGTGGAATTTGCGATTGACCCTAACGAGCCCACCTACTGTCTCTGCGAGCAGGTGTCCTATGGTGAGATGATTGGCTGTGACAATGACCAGTGCCCCATTGAGTGGTTCCACTTCTCCTGTGTCGGGCTCACGTACAAACCCAAGGGCAAGTGGTACTGCCCCAAATGCAGGGGGGACAATGAAAAGACAATGGACAAAAGCTTAGACAAGAACAGAAAAGACCGGCGGTCCAGGTAGTGACCTCCTTCCTCAGGGTCGTGGAACTGTTCCTTGTAGTTTCCAGAAGTACTCAGATGTTCAGAGAAGCACAATTGAACACTGTCCAGTAGCAGCGCTTATTATTAATCAAGGACCAGGTGTGATTGGACTTGTGCTGTTACATCAATGATTGTCTCCACTGGTGATAACTGTGCTGTAGTGTGTAGGATAAACAGCCGCTGCAGGAATCCTCAGTTTGGTCTTGCGGTTCCTTTTTTTTTTTGTTTGTTTGTTTGTTTGTTATTTGAGGGACTTTTGTTATTTCTCGGTTTATTTGTTTGAATGTTTCATTCTGATCAAAAGTCCCAATAAAAAAAAAGTTAATAATGATTACATTGTTCAGTTTCGGAGAGTTTTTTTATTTAGTTTTGCCTCCAGGGGATACAGAATCAGAGAAATTTGACCATATCTACAAAAAGTTTTCAGTATGACACTTCCCCACACATCGCCCAAAACTGTTTTCTTTTCAGTTCCCCACACATCGCCCAAAACTGTTTTAAGAGCACAGGGACACCATTGTCATTAGTCCACTGCTGTTATTCTTTGATGAACCTACTGATGGAGGCGACATTTAAATAAATAAATAACATGTTTTCACAACAGGTTTGTGTCTATTTTTAAACTCAATTTGGAGAATCTTCTTTTTTTTTTCTTACAGCTGTTCCCTTTAGGGGTCCCCATAAATATAAATATCTTTCAGCTGTTTACTTTAGGGGTCCCCATAAATATAAATATCAGGTTAATTCTGTTCACTTTGGTGATGGGTTAAAAGCAGAGGTTACTTTTGGTTGTGTGCAGTGGTGTGCTGTGTCACAATGACAAGTAGTTCACTTTCCTTTCCTTCCTTCTTTACTTGTACTGCGTGTGAACTTTGTAATACTAATACTACTACGAGACACTCAGGAGTGGCAGAGAAGTATTTGAAGACTGTGCCGGACATCTGCCGGAGTCTAGGTGGACAATAACTTGGTGATACATTTACACCAGGGATCTGAGCCCCTCTTTGTTTGCTATGTTGATGGACAGGTTGACAGATGAGATCACACAAAAGGACTCCGTGGACCATGATGTTTGCAGATGACAGTGTCATCTGTGGTTAGAGTGTGCAACAGATGGTAGAGAGGTGGAGAGGGGGAGGTTTGCTTTGGAGCGAAGATGATTGACGAAGATGGAACACATGTCTGTAAACATGACGATAAAGATGCAAGAAGTATGAGAGGTAGTAAAGGTGGGTGAGTTTGAATACCTAGGGTCAACCATCCAGGAAATGGACAGTGCACAAAAGAGGTAAGGAGAATGAGGTATTAATTGATTTAATTAATTCAGATTAATTGAGGCAATTGTATTAATTAACTGCTTTGAAAAAAAAAGTCGCTGTAATGTGATAAGTTGATTATGTCCATGTGCAAAAAGTTAAATCTTCAGTACATCTGACGTCAACAAGGGTGATCAACCTGGGACCGTGGCACAGGTTTGGCTGTAAATACATGACAGATTCATTAAGGCAATCAAAGAATTTAAGATTTTCTTAAATGTAAGAAAATCTTAAATTCTTTAGATTTTCTTACATTAAAGGATCATTAAAATTTCAAAATAAGACATCTTTCTGTTTGTATTAGAGTCTGAATGACATATTATTATTAAAATATTGCCAGATTATCTTTATATAAAGGAAGTAAATGGATATGACTAGATTCTCTTTGAATAAAGTAAATTAGTAAAAATGAAGTACATTTTTTCACTGTGTCCCACTGCGGCCCGGTACCAAATGACTTATGGACTGGTACTGATCTATACAGTCTTCCATTTACAACCGGCCCTTGAAGGGGAAATGTGTTGTTGATATCGCCCCCGGTGAAAATGAGTTTGACACCCCTGGTGTGGTGTATTGACGCAGTGCTTTAGCTTGGTTGATATTTACAAATGGAGTCAGTTATTAGAAAGTGTTCCAAATATCACACATGAAATTGGATTAAATTAACTATTACTAGGATAATAAACTCCAATTGCCTCTGGTTGCGTGAGCCAGAGCTTTATTCACAGTCATTTTATTTGTATATACTGATATAAGCGAACACACACCACCCCAGTGTGAAACTATCTTGAATGTAACAGTTTATTTTAGCATGAAGATGCTAAATACCCTGCCCCCGCCGCACACACCCACCGCAATTTACATTGGCCAACCGTTTTCTCAACTTTAGCTTCTAGTTACTGGCATATTTCAACTAAACAACTTAAAAGTATAACTGTGAAATTACAATATTACGAACATTTCGGATAGAACAAATGTCTGTGCATTTATACGTTTTATTAAAAATGTAAACAGACAACATAGTGGAGACGAAGCGGTTGGAAGCTTGTTGACATTGTTTCTTGTGTAAAGGCAACAGAAAGGCACAAACGTGCGTTGAAACGGATACTGGGAAGAGTTTCTTTGTCGCCATCTAGAGACTAATTCTTACAACGCACCTACATTCTGTTGGGAAGCTTCGAGATATTTAATTTTTACTTTTGACAATGGAGTTTGTAGGTGTTAGTAAGAACCCGTGGACGCTATAATAAGGAGTTCGTCGTAAACATAGCTAACGAAGCTACATTTGGTCAACACCCCTTTCTTGGACGTTGGGCCAACGGAGCATTGTAAGTAAAACTGAGAGTATGTTTATATTGTAAAAGGGATAAATTGTAATGTCAAATATTAATATACACGACATACGATTGAAACGTAGGGGTTTCACAAACACGAACATACATTTTTTATACGTTTAAGACATTTCGGGTTTAGTACAGTGACACAAACACTACGAGACCGTAAATACAGTGTCAATGAACTTAAGTGATTGACAATAACGTTTTTTTTAGGGGTCACCAACGTAGCCCCCATGGACATGTTCTAAAAAATAAAACTAGTCAACAAGAGGGTCAAATATTGTTCCGTTACTGTGTTTTTTGTGTCCGTTCCACTTGCAATGATATTCAAATGGGTGCAATGACGATGTAAGAGTGACTACTATTGTATGTCCCAGAACTTAGTATTATTACAATGTTCAGGAAGTCTGTATCAAACAAGTAGCTCTTCGTATTATAAGTTCCCTTGAAATAGCTCTCAGTTTCAAATAGGTTGGTGACCCTTTGTTTATAAGAATACACATAAAAAAATCTTTGAATTCAAGTGGACACAACTTAGCCTACTTAAAAACGTTGTCAACTTAGTTGCTAGGCAAACTAGTTATCGACAATTAGCAGTTTGAAATCACAAAACTTGTGGGTAATTGATAAAACTGATGAGGCCTGTATTGGCAATTGTGAATTTGCCTAAAATGCACGTTAGTGAAAATGCAAAGTATCACAAAACTTGTGGGTAATTGATAAAACTGATTGGGAATTGTGAATTTGCCCAAAATGCACGTTAGTGAAAATGCAAAGTGCTTACCAGTTAATGAGACATTTTACTCCAAAAAAAAAGGAAGAGTATTTTTACACTTTGTGTTACTGCATCACAGTTTAAACATTGAACACAACACTGCAGCATCACTGTTGGTAAAACACTTATTCATTCAGACTAAAATAAGCTTCAGATTATGCCTTTAAGTTTAATTAAATAATTTGTTAAGACTTATTCAGGAGTAAAAAAAGAGAAACAAATCCAAGTGTCAACAACTGGAATTGAATTTATTTTCATTACATTAAATGAAGTTTACAGACTACAGACTTCATGAGGAGAAAAAAAAATCTGTTTTTTTTTTCCTCATCCATCATGGATTACCTCAATTATATTCTGGATTGTTTAAGAATCATCTCCAGAGGGTTGAGTGTAGAAAGCCTATAATGAAGAAAACTAAAGTCCATGTCCATGAAAGAACATCACATGTGGAGAAGAGTTACCCTCAGCTTTCCTCTTTATTATGGCACCATCACATTTGAAATCCACATGCTGTGGTTATTTGGCAGAATTTAAACACTAACCTGTGTTAAAATGTAGGTGGATTCAAACCTGCAACTGTCTGACAGGACAGAATCCTACCTATTCCAGTTAAAGTTATGATGACAGGGACTGATGATGACAATTTGACCTTGGTATATTTTGTGGAAATAATGTGTTTATTTATCCAACACAAAATAAAAAGCAAATAAGATCCTTCAAAAAAAATGACCTAAAACATTTTGTGGGTCTCTTAATATGAAGTATTTGTGCAACCTTGAGAATAAAAAAATAAATTAAATACATTTAGGTGATTAAAGTCATAAATTTATGAGAATTAAGTTGTTTAGATGATGTGTTTTAGGGGAGACAAAGGGAAAAGCAAACAGCGTTAATTGTAAGTCGGTGAAAAGTTTAACTTGAGTAGTTTTCCAAAATAAAAGATACTTCATCATTTGACTCATCAGCATCACATCTCACTCACACTCACCTACTGACTCGTTGCCTGTCTTTTTACATTTCCGCTAATATTATGCCATTATTTTAATGTATGATTTTACTCTTGCACGCTTGCGACTTTTCGTGCACTTGTGACTTTAGTTTTGCAAACCTTCAGCTCTATTCTTGCAAACATGCGACTTCATTCTCGCGTACTTACGACTTAAGTCTTGCAAACATACAACATAATTTTTTTATTTAATTTTTTATCCTCAACATGGCTCTAATACTCCATCTTAGTCTTAAGACCCACAAAAGATTAAAAAAAATCTAATGCACTCATATGGACATTGGTATGTTTTCAACAGAAAAAAAGAGTCAGCACCTTTTTAAAACCAATTTTTTTAGTAATATCAAAACAGATGGATGAGTTATACCAGATAAAATGTGCACCACAAAGTACTGTATTTCATGGAAAAAAGAAGCAGCTAAAATAATGCTTTGGCCAACATTCTTAAGTGACTTGTAAAAACCCAAATGTTAGATGGGAGCACTGGCAGTAAGTCGGCAATGTAAATAAACCAGTTGGTGGCAGTAGTGCTGACAAAAGTCTGCAGGCGATAACACTGCTGACACACCAGGCAGTGGAGGATATTGACCTGGTCGGTGTGAGCAGCGCCCTCTAGGAGCTCTTACCTAAGTGGCACAGAACCTGATTCATGGTTTATAAATCACATAATTATAATAATATAATTATCACATAAATTAAACAGAATCTAAAATTTATTTCCATGAAATACCGTTTTAATGTATATGTAACATTTAACACATTCGTTCAGAACCACCGTCCAACATTTGAGAGTCACTGAAGGCTGGGATCATGATAGCGTTTAAGCGAAGACTGCACAACAAGGTGCGCCGGAGATGTTCGTTTGACAGACAACAGAAACAACACAGCGAACGGTTCTGCTATTATGCAAGTCTCGGACGTGCGTAGCCGGTAACGTAGCCGTCTGTGTTCGCCTCCGAGGCTGCGACTTTACGAGAGCAGAAGGAGCTGCGTGGTTTTCCTCACATCACTGCGATCTCTCCGTGTAAAGCAGCAACCGGATACGTCCGCTCCCAGTTAGTCGTCGTCTTTTCCTCCTGTTTTACTCAACTGCAACACAAAGAGGAGAAACACTGTGTGTTATATTTTCCTTCATCAGTGATGACTCATGTGGCTTTTTTTTTTTTCCCCTCAGGTGTGACTAACTTACGTGCTGCACAGAGTATAGCATCAGCGGGCAAGAAGATAAAACAGAAAGACATAAAAAAAGGTAAAATAGAAAGGTTAATACATGGTTCGGAGAGTTTATAAAAACGCACCGTTTCGTAGAAGCACGAAGGCACTTACTTTGATGACGTCCACCCAGTCCCAGCCTCTTGGCAGTTCTCCTTTGTTATCTGAAAGCACATAAATACAGCAGTGGTTATACTTTAACTGATACACAGACAAAGTAACGTCATTTTATATTATTTATACTATTTTCAAAAATAGTCTATTGTCGTCTACGGCAGTGATCATTCCCAGGGGTCCAATCTGGTCGGACCGATGGTCCGATCTGGCCTGTGACTGGTTTCCAAAATTGTGACGCCAATATTAAAGCAACTGGAAAAAGTAACAACTGAAACTGAATTAACTATCCCCACCATTTTACAACTCCTTTTACACTGAATTAGACAAAAATTTGATTTTTATTTCATTTTACGATATGACGATACGAGTGTCCACCCCCCCAGGGGTCTTTTCAGAACAATTCTGGCCCTCTGCGATATGAAGTAAAAGGTGTCTTTTCAGAACAATTCTGGCCCTCTGAGAAATATAGTTGGTGGGGATTAGCTAGTATCTTAGGTTATCAATAGAGCTAGCATCCTTCTGCATTTTGTTTTACTAACCCTTGTTTGTAACCGTTTTGAATGGATTTACACATTAAAACAAAATTAATGTAACACGAAGGTTAGCAGTCTTTGGTGGCTGACTATTGAATATTTGTAGTGTTGAATATGTGATCCGTCAACTAGCCTTTTTAAACAATCTGCAACAAGGGGGCGATAAGGCAGTTGTAAGTTAGGGCAGGCCATGTTCTACTGTGGTGTCAGAATCGTTCTAGATGTGATTGGTGGATAGCTAGTTCAAATCAAATCAAAACTGTACGAGGTGTTGAGCAAGTACTGAAAACTGTCTTCGTCTTCGATTGACAAACCTGTTCTGCTGATCATCCTTCTCTTCTGAGCTTTTGTCAGCTGCTCTTTCTTCTCCTTCTTCCTGGCAATGGGGCTGCTGGTGGTGTTGTCACTGTTGGACGCTAATGTCTGTAATGACGAGAGGCAGCAGGCGGTTGATTCTTAGGTTCTAATAATACAGGTGGTCCTCGGCCTACAGCATTTGGTGGTTATGCACCATCTCCCATTAACTAACTAAGAGAGTCTTCCATTATTTTGATATACAGGGTTAAAACTAATTTGACGCGGGAACTAGTTGACAAGCGGGGTGGTCCAATAAATTGTCACACAGCCCTACATGCAGAAGACAGCTTTGTTTACGACAACGTTTTGTCCTTCATTCCATGTGTAAGTCAGACTCTTCTGATGTTTTTATGTTGTGAGTGACAAAGGTACTATGGTAAATGTCAGGCATGGGCAAACTAAGGGCCGGGGGCCAGATGCGGGCCTAGACAGACTTGTATTGATTATTGGGAAACACAATATCTCAAAACTTTCAATGTAGAAAACACAGACGATGCGTCCGAGTAAGGGCAGGAACACGCAAAAGGCTTATCGTGTTCGGCTCCTTCCCACATATACTCCATATATATCAATAAATACACATGCATATAACCCGCAATCAATGGCCAGGTATTTGAAAAAAAACAAACAAAAAAAAAAACAAACTCTATGGCATAAACAGAGGAGCCATAGAAACAACTCTGCCAAGGCAAAAATGCGGTGAAAAGTACCCACCACAGCTGTCACTACAGCCTTATGGTTTTCCATGAGGGACTCCTGATTTTCTTTGGCCCACTCAAAAAGAGTGTACATCATGGCAGTGCCCAGGTTGGCTTGCGCCTGCTCCTCCAGCCTCGACAGGATCAGCTGCTTTGTCTCTGCAGAGCTAACGTAACAAGAACAAAAAAAAGAGATGAGGAAAAATGCTGTCTGTATTTGTGTTCTTCTGCACAACATGATTTAGTATTTTATTATACATTAGCTTATATATAATTAAAATGACATAATCAAAGGATGTAGAAAGACATGTTTCCACTCTTTAACTACAGCACTATGCTATACTTCACTCATATACTTTGTTTTGTACTTTTGCTGCTGTCAACACTGTATATTTCCCCATTTTGGGACGAATAAAGGACTTCATAATCTTATAATATCCATGTAGACACATAAAGGTATATAGACACATATAGACTTCCATTCAAAGGTTTTGGACACGTGGCATGTTTCCACTCTTTAACTACGCGATATCCCAATTTCTACAGCACTATGCTATACTTCACTCGTATACTTATACTATTGTATATTTCCCCATTTTGGGACAAATAATGGACTTCTTAATCTTATAATACCCACGTAGACACATACACACTTCCATTCGAAGGTTTTGGACACATGGTATACACATGTGTATATATATAAAAAAAGTATAACAATATATTATAAATTATAATTCTAAAAATGATACATTTCTTATAAATACATGTATTATAAATTATAATTATAAAAATGATACATTTCTTATAAATACAATTATTAGATATTTTCCTTTTTCAACATGTTCAAAGACAATAGAAAATATACCTTATAAATATATTTTATATTAATGTTTTAATATATTAGCCAGTGTTCATGTGATAAATATTTATTAAATTCATTACAAATCAGTAATGAGTATATTTTGGACCCAATCCTGGTTATGTTCGACCCATGTTTGTGAATATGCCCTACAGTTGGACACCAATCCTTTTAAGGGATCTGGTACACTTTTCTACATGTCAGTGGTCTAAATTGCGTCCAAATCTTTCCAGTAGTTCCTACAAAAATATTTATACCTGCGTACTCCATGGTAGAAAGAAAAAACAAACACCTCGTCATTAGGCAACTTACATTCTATTGTTAAAAAAGGCATCGAGGGAGATTTGCGGGGCCGTCTCAGGGTACGTTTCTGGCCATGTGACGTCCAGGATGAACGCCTTGGAGTCTTCTAGCTCACCTATCTTTCACGTAGAATACAAGGAAAGACGTAACTGTTAATACAAACGGCGACTTCCTGAAGTGGAGCAGAACAGTATCCAGTTTTCTTAAAAGTGCTGTCAGAATTGACGCGTCTACGAGAATTCATTTGGTGGTGAATCAGGTTAACACTGTAGTAGAGAGTTTTTGTTTCACCAAATCACTTTAAGATGGAAATACCAACTGAACGTGCAGTTTGCATTAGACCAGCCTCACTGAGTGCAGGGCAGTAAGTACAGTATGTCTACAACTAACCAGCTGAAAGACACACATAGATTGTGAGGGACTGTGGACTGATTAATACTGTTGAGGACAACAGAATAATCGTTTTGAAAATCAACTTTAGATGCATTTCACAAGCCACGATCGAGATGCACAGTAATGACTAAAATCCCTCTCAACTCTAGAAAGCATTTACATGTATCCTTTTGCATATGTTTCTTGACATTTTTCCATATTAATAATTCCACAGGAAATCGTCAGAAATCGGAAACAGGCCGGAAACACATCGATCTACCTGCTGTAATTTGTCTTTCCGGTAAGCAATATTTGGATTTAGGTATTTTGATTGATCTCAATGACTATTTCGAACAATTTGAACTAGTTTTTATATAAATTGTGACATATTTTGTGAGACCAAAGGAATCAAAATAGCTCAACTCACCCTAAACTGGAAGGACACTGGGCTAATTTCTTTAAAAACTTCATCCCCCTCATAGATGGAGCGAAGAGCCTCCAGCTCCATCTGGAATGAAATACAGGAAGAGACGTGAGTTTACACAGATGACACCAAAAAAAAAATATAGGAAATGTATATGACACAAAGACTTCGCTGGATAAAAGTGACACATTAGGTCTTAGGGGTAAAACTAGGACAATTCACAATGCAGAAGAATATTATCTAATACAACATAGAATTGCTAATGACTCGGTTAGATTCTGAAAATTGCCTGACTCTAACACACACCTTTACTAGCTGACCTAAATGTGACAGTGTTTTACTGTATTACATCCGCATTGTCACTGACAGTGTTTTTGTTTTTTTTGTTTCTTTGCATTATATTAACATAAACACATTTAAATTGCAATGCTGTTTTTAATGACAGCTGCTTTAATGCCTAACAGAAGCTAAAGACTTAACTGTGTTGTACAACAACTAATTGTTTCGCTGCAACATCACTCCGGTTGAGGTCTAAAACCTCCCTAGACTCTGAACAAACATCCCTGTCGGGCTGTCACTAGGTTGTGGTGAGGTCAGTCCCGTCTGTTAGCTGTTAGCCTCCAGCAGCTTCTCTTTCTGTGCTCACTCTTACCTCTTGGTCCTCGTTAGCTGTCATGCTTCTCCCTCTGCTGCTGGGAGGCACACTGTCCGAACAGAAACACACACTTCAAAACAAATCACGACCAATGACCCATTTCGGTTGTTTTAAAAAACACTGTTGGAACAATTTCACAACTTTTCTAACACGTATCGCAGTTTTTCATTTCACAGCCGCCGACGCCATGATAGCATACACATGCGCTGTTGCGTTTCCGTTCTTCTTTGTAGTAATATTCTGGCAACAGAAGTATGTACCATACCGCCATCAGCTGGTGTGGACGGAATAATGCTGAACTGAAACCTCACATGCCCAAGAGAGGGCGACAAAGGCCGCAGCTTGAAAAAGGATGCTCTTTTATGAAAGTCGACTCTAATGACTTTTTCGGCTCCCAAATGGCTCCCCTGTTACTGTAAAATTCCTAATGCAACAGACATATCAAATGTGTCTTATTATGGCTTGAACTGGATATGAAACAAAGCACTCTCTTTCATATTCAGTTCAAGCCATAATAGGCAAGGTATTTTTAAGTTCTCAATTAGATTGAAGAATCAATTTCTCATTGTATGTATATCTATAAACATAATCTATTCACAGTGAAACCGTAAGACACTACAGAGCCCTGGAAAGCGCATACAATTTTTTTTTGTATTTTCATGCTCACCTTTTATGACATGGGATAGCATTCATGCACCTCGAGGATCTCAAGGAAGCCTTCCATTTTAAAAAATTCAAATTTCTCTATGGCACTGCAAAAAACTTCCTGATCAATTTGATGCAACAGACATATCAAATGTGTCTTATTATGGCTTGAAACTGAATATGAAACAAAGCACCCTTCAGGCTATCAATACCAAGTTTTGTCAGACTGCAATTGTGGCGGAACCCAATCGCAGCTCAATCGAGTCATCAACTTTACATTGATTAGCAGTTGATATGGACAAGCCTTGTACTGTGGATTTCTTGTGGATGTCTTGTACTTGTGAAAAGGCACAACCTGGCAGCAGGCAGGTCATGGTTTGTGTCTGGGCGACGCTTAATTAACGTCAAAAAAAACCAAAAACTGTGGCGGACTTTATGGATCAGGTCAGTATGACTGGGCCTACAAACTAGCGAGTCAGTGTTTTTTTTCCTCAGAAACTGTATCTATAAGCATTGCGTTGTTATCTTTTGCACTATTTCAGTATGGGACATAAAGGATGTACATATATACAGTGTACAGTGTTCTATATCTCAATTCTTTTTTCGCTCCCTCAGTACCTCAGATTTTTCTTTGAATCTGATATTTTTTTTGACTTTGAAAATGTGTGTTCTCGTTTTGAAATTGAGATAAGCGCATTTGCAAACTATCACTGATAGTTTTGTTTACCTAGATGAGATTATACACAGCATACAGCGTATTAGCTAATACAATGCATACTCAGTCTACTATTGGCTAATTGAGCATGCTCTTCTGTTCCTCACAACGGTTGGCTCATGCATCCTAGCATCTCTCAGCATCTCCCCTCGTCTGTCGGCCACTCTCTTTGCGCTGCGTCCCCATTAAACAACTCTACTGTGCATATAATTGTGTGGGGAAGGGTAATACAGTCTAGGGAGGGTTGATAACAGTGCTGGAGGTTCGTAGAGGGTGAATATATACGGGAATAATATAATAACTACCTCACTTCTACTTCTTGGAACGCAACTACCACGATAGGAGAGAGACCACTGTATATATATCTATAGAATATATATATAAATAGATATAAACAGTGATGTCAATACCGAGGTACTGAGGTACGTACCAAACCTTGGGTTTTCTGTACCATTAGACCCCTGTTAAATATATACGTTGTTTACATTATGCCAAATAGGTTGAAACATAAGCCTTTTTAAAGCAACCGCAATGTTGCGATTTTAGTACTTGTATGATAGGGGTAAAAAAAGGTTGTGATGTATACGTTCCGCAATGTTGCAATTTTAGTACTTGTATAATAGTGGTAAAAAAAGGTTGTGATGTATACGTTACGGCAGGGTTCCCCAAACTCCTGTCCATGTCAGCGATGGTCAATCAGCTTTATTGTTGTTATCGCACATTAACAGCGCCGTAATTGTTTATTGAACCGAAATTGTGTGCAAGACTTTGGAGTATTGAGGTCAAAGCCCTATTTTTGGGAGGCATATTTGTGCTTGCCAAAGAGCTTTAAATTCCCCCAGCGTCTACGGCCAAATCAAAGACACTCCCTGGCATTCCACGAATAAGTTTGGGTAAAAAAGTCACACAGAAAGAGACATAAAAACCTAAGAGTTTTGATGCTGAGGAGGAACACAGACACACTAAACCCAAAGGACACTGTGTCTCGTGGGCGTAGCAGAGCAACGGGCAAACACTGACATAAAGTATGATCACCTCGTAAAGTTTCATCGCTGATGTTGGTTTACTTGCACCAATTCGTGTTGTGTCGCTTCAGTGAATGTTCTCTGAGCTTCTCTCATCTCATTTATCAAAATGTACCAAAATCTTGATGAGGTTTTTCTCTGTCGAGGTGTTCAGCTATGGAGTTGAGATGATTAGTTAACATATTTGAATGTTGTTCAAACTGTAATGCATCTGGCTTTTACTCAACAGCATAAGCGTTGTCTCTAACGCATGCGATGTGTGTGTGATCATTAAAGTATTTCTAAAGGTGGTTTCGATTTTGAACGAAACAATTTGCGTTTTGGCGTTTTTAAAATTGGAGCAGGCACGAACTGAGCCTTCCGTCTTGATTTCAGTTCGATGAATTCATTGGAAAAATAGGTTATAGGAGGGGAAAAAAGTGAATGTGTGCTTTCATCTTTTACTGGAGCAGACATGGAGACAGAAGTGCTCCTGTTTCCCACCGTGTCTGAATGAATGCATTTATACCAGAAAAACTCAGGTTTCATCGCATGGACTCATGCGTTGACTTGTGTCTAAATATACAGCACAGTTAGAAACAGCTGAAGTCATGCCGGAGTGCTTTGCAAAAACGTGGATAATTGGTTAATAAAAAAGTGTGAAGCAGTGAAAACTACGGAGGAGAAAAAAAGGTCAAAACAAACCACAAGACAAACAGATGGACACGGCAAAAGGAGAAGTGAAACTAAATCAGACTGTCGAAGTGTGTCTTGCTGCTGAAAATAAAAAAAATATATACCTGTTCAGGCGTGAAAGCAATTTTTTAGAATTCAGAAAGTCAGCGTCTCCTCTGTCCTCTGAAGATTTTTTTTCTTTGTTCTTATTTGGCCTTTGTAACTTTGTGATTTCTCAAGAGCTGTAATCCTAGGGAGAAATGACAATGTCTTTTATTTCTGCCTCTCCTTCAAACGGAGTGTAAGAAGTTCGAGGTGCTTTTTGAAAAGATGGTACTCCAATAAGTTTGTTGTTTGTATCTTAAGGCTGCAACCAGGCAGATGGAATCTTTTGGGTCTTTGAGCATTTTTGCTTTCGGTTATATATATGTGGTGCTTTGGCCCCAGAGACAATGTCTCTGTCATTGGCAGTATATCTGTGGTGCTTTGGCCCCAGAGGCAATGTCTCTGTCATTGGTGTGGAACCCCAGGGTTCACCTCCTGGACAAGATTGAATCCCAGTTAGGGCGGTTGGTACCTTCCAGTGGACTCACCACCTGCAGGAAGGTTCAGGGGGGTTGGTACAGTGCAGTGTGATTTGGGTGGCGGTCATGGAGACTGCTGCCCCCGCGACCCGATAACGGATAAGCGTATGAAAATGGATGGATAGATGGATGTTTAGATATCCTGTTCTTTCTGTTTGCAAGCTACCGCTTTTCATCGAGCAGTTACCACTGCCCTCACCAATGATAATGTTGTTCCTCGGCCACAAAAATCTCATAGACATCGAAGAGGGTGGAATAGAAGATGGATGGAAGATTCTTTCACGGAATCAACACCCAGGTATATGATCTACCATCTTAAAAAAATATTTATGAAACTATATACATTTCAATACAACCAACTCATTCTCTCAATCGCTTCACTGTGAAGATCATATGTGATTCCTCCTACATTATCACAAACGTAAAAGCCAACAGGCCTGGCTCTGTACGTGATTCCCGGATCTACTGGGAATGTAGTCTGAGCAACAGATATTCATGTTGTCAGGAAGCTAAAGCTTTGTAAAAATCTTCTGTGTCCTCTAATTAGCGTTAGTGTTCGATGACCCTGAGCCCCAACAACCTTTAAATGCCCACTGCAAGACTAATATCAGGGTCACACCAGAAAGAGCAGGTGACATAATCGTGGCCCACTACTGTGCTGTCGAAGTCGATGGACCGTCTTCCTGGTGATGCCCGGGCATGTTCTGTCAAAGAACAAGAATGTGTTAGTTTGCTGTCTGTTATCTTTGCTCATTACTTCAGTGTACATGTTCAAACTTCAAATTCCACTCAAGAATGTAAAGGAATGGGAATGCGTAGAGCACTGCCCGTAGCTATGCATAATATTTACACACACTTCAGTAGGCCTCTGGATCTGTCCCTGTGGCAGCAGACAGCATTTCTTCTGGCTAGGTAGATATATATACATATATATGTATATATGTATATATATATATATATATATACATATATATATATATATACATATATATATAAATATATATA